GAGTTACTTAAAGCCGCAGCCAAACTGAAGAGCTCGGCCAAGCTGAGTTACTTATAGACCCAGCACTCAACGCGAATGGAGAATTCGTGGCCATACTTGATTAAAAATCCAGGTCCATGCTTTTACGCCTCTTAACATTCTTTACATTTTTAACTTTTATTTTTAATTCCGTTACAATCCACACGCCTCGTCGCCCAACCCAATATTTCATTTCTCAACACTCTTACAACATGATTTAAAGTTTTACACTTTAAGACCTTTACATTTCAACGTTTTTATTGTTAACATTCTTTGTGTCATGGTTTTCTCACAAGTTAGACTGGCTCCCTACTTCTCAACTTTTACTACAATTTATACACAAGCCTTATTTAAATGTCCATTCTCATTCTTTTCAGATCTACAAGAAATAAAGACAACAGTATGAAAAAGCACAACTCATTATTTTATTTACAAACTTACACATAAATTCACTACAGAAATTACATGACCAAAAACAAAACAAAAAAAACAAAACAACAACAAAAATTTTATTTACAAACAACAACACGCAAACCTCAAAAATTTTACATTAATCATTCATCCTCGCTCGAGTCTAGGTCTTCTTCGTCAACCCCTTCATCTAGGGGGGTTTGGGCCACATCGTCTTCATCTATTCTCACATTGCTGAAGTCCAAGTCTGGGAACAACTCTTCTGCTTTACGTTTAAAAGTCATCCAGCTGCTGTCCCAGAACTCAGCCAGCTCATGCTTGTAGAAGTCCGACCACTGGAAGCTCTGGATCACTTCCTCTTCACTCCTACTTCTAGCGGTCGCTCCCGACGGGCCAACCCCCCTATCCCCCTCTCTTGCCAAGCTGCTGGCGATAGCGGCATCAATGGCCATTTGGAAGTCGGCGGACCCCTTGAACTGCTCTACCGTTGCAACACATAGGTCAGGGTACGCCACCCTCTCAGATTCCAACTTGGCATTCTCCTCTTCTAGGGCCTTCTCCATCTTTGCCCTCTCAACTGCCAGTCTAGCCCGCCCGTTCATCAGCGCCCTCTCAAACTCAGCGATCTTCTGATCTGCTTCTTCCTTTTCTTTAATCGACTGAGCGCGTAGATCTTCATTACAGACTATGGCCTCATCCCACCTTTCGTTGGCGACGGTGCACGCTTTCTGGGCCTCTTCCAGTTTCTTCTGCTCGCCAACCAACTGGAACTCGAGCGACACCACCTTACGGCGTTCCGTCTCCAGCTCTAACTTGGTCGCGAGCAGCTCAGCATTAGCATGGTCTGCTGAATAGCCCTGCACCATCGCCAACGCCTCCATCTTCTTGGCGTTCTGGGCATACTCCAGCCCCCTAGCACACACACTCCGCGTAGCTTTTCCCCCAGCCCTCGGTCTCCCTCCTTAAACTTTCAAGCTGGGCATTCACCTCATCCAGCTTTGCCTTCAGTGGCTCAATTTTGCCTTTTGCGCGTGCCACTTTGTTCAGTAAGGCTCCTGCTAAGACCGTCGCCTCCATCTGGGCCGAGCACAACCCCCTTAGCAGTTCGACCTCTGTGAAACTTGCCATCAAACGCACGACCGCGTCCTCCACTACTCCCAAGAGCCGATCTGCAGCAGTCCTGGCTTCACCTCCTTCTCCCTCCAGTCGTCCGGACACTGTTGGAGCGCGGTAAATGGCGGTCTTTAATCTGGCCCTCTCTCATTCTCCTTGGGGCACAGGACCCCTCTTGGGCTGTTGCTCTGTCCCCTGCTCAAGGCCAGTCGCCCCACCTTCCACTTGTGTTTCAGGGCCCAGGGCACTCTCCATCCCCTTCGCTGTTCCCTCCAACTCCACTTCGGGGGTCCCCTCTGCCATCCCCTCCTTCATCCTCTTCAAGACTGGCCCCTCCTCTCTTTTCTTTACTCTCTTCTTCTTCTTCAGCACAGCCTCCACCTCCTCTTTGCTCTTTTCCTTCAGAGGATCCACTGGAGGTGGTCGTGGCTCAAAACCACTTAGGTCCTTCTCCCCGAGCGGCTTGGGGCGCGGTCGGACTCGTTCCTTCACGATCGGTTTGGGTGGGCGGCCTAATTTCGCCTTTTTGTATTGATCAGCCTTGGCGAAGGTGGTTCTGTCCTCCGCCTCTTGCCTCTTTCTCCTTGTCTCTAGTTCTGCTGGCGTAAGGTCTCCGCCGATCGGCTGAGGGCCCAGCCTAGAGGCAAACAAAGCTGAGGGCTGAATAAGGTCGTTCCACTTGGCACCCTCCTTCTCCCTTCATGCCTTTACCTTTTTCAGCCTTTCATCTGCCTTCGCCTCTAACCTTGGCTTAACCGACTTGGTTGGCACCTTTCACACCGTGCGCACTCCTACTCCCCCGTTGGCAGACACATAGAACCACCGCGGCCTTCATCCTTTCACTGACGATGGCAACCCCGCCACCAGACCTTTCCCTGCTGCCGCCTGTAGAGTGACCCAAGTCTCTTGCTGGCCCGAAGCCTTGTAGCATGCAAAAAACTCATCCACCGTCATTGCAGGTCCCTCGTTCGCCCGCGGCCACTCGTTTGCACAGGCCAATAAAATCTTCCACGCATTGGGCATCAGTTGGCCCGGAGCCACCTCCAGCCGATTCAACACGTCCACTACTATCCGGGGAAGCGACAACCTCAACCCCTCCTTTAGCACCTCTTCGTAGAGGGCAAACTCCCCCGGTCAGGCGTCGGATGGCCTTTCCTTCGACGTCGGCAATTTTAACTCTATCTCCACGGGAATCTGATACCTCTTGCGCATCTCCTCCAACTCCTCCGCCATACATGTCGATTTATCGGCCTTCGTGTAGCAGTGGTCTGGCCTCTTGACTAATAGGTTTCGCGGCCGCAATCCTCGTCATAGGACGAGCCCGCACTGCCTGACTAACTACCCCCCCGCCCTTTGCTCCACACGGTACTGTTCCACCAACTCCACCGCATCGTCGTTGCCTAACGAATCAAGCCTTGCGATTACTACTTCCTCTTGGGTCATTTCTCTTGTGTGTCTGCGAATGACTTCGAACGCAGGCAGAAAAAAGTTCATAAAATGTTGCAGAGGTGTATCACTGGAAACAAATGAGTTTACTTCTGGGACGTGCTGTTTTTTTGCACAAAGATAGGTAAAACAGATAAAACCAAACGCCCAAGGCTTGCTTGTATTCTAAGGGTCAAGGTCAAATTTTTTCAGTTTGAAAATTTTCAAAAAAAAATTCAAAACCGCCTTTTCAAACACCCTATATTGACCTATTCCTTCGTTTCTTACTCAACGCTTGACCTTCCCCATTACGGGATTCCGCTACGTTTACGACCATGATCCACTGCCCTCTTCCCCTACCTTGTCTTTTCCATTTCAAATCACCACGTGCCCTGCCACTCCTCAAGCCCCGCGCACAGCCACTTCTCCCTCCACTCGGTCACCCTTCGCGGTCGGCCCTTCGCTCGGTCACCCCTCGTCGTCGGCCCACCTCTCGGTCAGTTTTCGCCCCGCTAGTCTCTCACAACCCTCGTTTTCTTCATTATTCCCTTCGTTAGACTAAAGCTGCACTTGGGAATGTGAGACTACTGACATGGGCAAGTCCATAAAGGTTATAGCCCACCACTTGGGGCCCAATATATAATTCAATTACTAAAGCCCAGCATTGTTGAAACTTAACATGGCATCAAGAACCAATGACATCAGAACACGTGGCAAGAGAAAGACAAGCCACATAAGCAGACAAAGATCTTGCAAAGTTATTGCACTGCACATCAGCCATTAATGAGGTCCCTTACAGCATTTATTGCGATAACTCCTTCCCGTCGAGACAGAACAGCCTCACCATGAACAAGGCAAGCTAGAGCATAGACTTTTGGCCAAGGTGACAGGTCGGAAAGGACAACGAAATGATTAGCAAATGATATAAGCTTTTCCTCTCAGCGTACATCTCTCTATTCTTTAATCTCTCATTTTTCATCCCTCCCCAGGGTGGTTGATGGATAAATAGGAAGTTGTGGGTTCTTGCCCGTGGTATTCTACCAGATTCTCATTCTTGTTCACAACAGTGAACTCCCCCTACAGAGGGGTTGTGATGCGGCTGGATGTGCAGCAGATCTGCAATTGACATTGGTTGACGATGCCCTACTGGGGAGTTTGGACGTGATCAAACGTGTCCAGACGAGGGAGTGGAATATCCTGATCCATTCTAGTTTATGCTTCGCACTTGGCTTGATACCCTGTTGCTTGGAGGATGTTGAGAACTTTCAGCCCTTCGTTGTTAGCTTCAGTTATGCCCTTTTCTGGCAGGTAGAGTGCCCTTTTCTGGCAAGTATGTTGACAACGGGGAAAAGGGAAATTGTTGATGTGATATTTGATATTTGATACAAAAATTTACAACTCATAACTAAACATACAACTCAAAATTATTTTAAAGCACATAATTTTTTTTTAAAATTTTAGAAAATATTTTTTTCGATTATATAAAAATTAACATATAAATTGCAAAAAAAAAATATCACTATTCTGGACGACCGATCAGGCAAAATTTTCAAAAAAAAAAAAATTCTGAAAAGCGCGGCTGAGACGGAGCTCTCTACAGAGTTTTGGAAACGTGATTCCAAAACTCCTACCAAACACCATTCTTGAATCAAGGTGCAGAATCATGATTTAAGAACACAACCAAACACAGCCTAAGCTTTTCTATCTTCTATCTATCTCTACATCTCATATCTCTCTATTCTAACTTGCTCGTTGAAAGGTTCGCTAGGGGATTTCGTGTTCCTCGTTGAACTCTTATACAGATCTCTCTGTGTGTTTGGCTTCTCAGACACCAATTAAGAAAGCGTGAATCAATCCGACTCATTCCGTCTGAAACTCGCTGCATCATCACACCTTTTTAATTTATATAACTAAATTTATCTTTGACATTTTTTAGCCAAAAAATCAAAACCAAACGCACCTCAATTCGATATGAACGGGAGAGAAGTATTTCCCAAAAGGAAAATCGATATAAAACGTGTTATTAATTTGTAACCTCTTTTTCAGTTTTTATGTGAGGCAGAGGAGAGAGAGAGAGAGGCTCAATCAGTGGATCTTCACGCAAACTCACTTCCTCTCCGTCTCCATTTTAGCGTTCGTGTTCGCTCCTCTCTCTCACTCTGATATATACATATGAATCGCATATGTTTATAGCATGTGACGAATCAACAAATGGGTTCCAACAAAAAAACTTCTTCCCACAAATCTTCTTCTCCTTCTTCTTCTCAAGATACAGATGTGTCGATTCAAGGCAAGTTTTTCAAATTTTAATTTTTTTTATTTGTTGCGTGTGTGAAATCTGTGAACCCACGATTTGTTTTTGGGTTCTATATCGTGTGGCGAAATTGATTTTTTTATCGATTGATAAATAGATTGAAATGAAACAGAAAAGCTTGAAAATTTGGGGATTGAATTCAAGTATTAAGTGTTTGTTTGATTGATTAGATATCATTGATGAGAAGGGTCTTGGTTAAATTAATTAAGCTAAATCTGAAGATAAATGTGTTTGATTCGAAGCCTACGCCGTTCTGTTGTGAGATTAGAATGAGAAATGAACATTAGCACTTTCCCATTTTGGTTACATCCACCAGACATAAGGAGATATCTCAATGGAGACCTTCTTTATATTTAAATTAGTATATTTTTTATATTTTAACTTTTTTACGTAAAATTTTATTTTTGTAACTAAAATCTAGGTGTTATTTACAGGTTTTACAATTTGTGACATTCCTTTCAGACAGGAAGAGTTTTTATTTTCTTTTTTATCTAGGTTTTGGATAAGAAAATTTTGGTTTTTTGTGGTGCATTTGGGCAAGGTGGGTTTTTTTTTTTTTGTAAGCTTTTACTGTTGAGGCCCTTTGGACAAGCAACACAAGGAAGATTCTTTTTAAGACTTCGCGACAATGTTTTCTGACAGTTTTTTTTATTAGGCGTTATCTTTGTCCAAACAAGTAACTTAGGTCTTTTAAAAAAGTGGAGCCTTAGGTGTCCGCTTCATTGCCTTGAGGTTGTACCGGCCTGGCTAAATCTCTTGGGTCTTAGTGGGTAAATAATAGGTGACTATGCTAAAATTTGTTTTCTTGTAGGTGTGTTGTTAAAATCTGAAGTTATAAAATTTGAAACCGACAGTTACATAGGGTTAATTTATGAATGAAAATAACACCAAATTGGTTGTATGCTTTATATAATAGTATAGCAATATGGATACTAGATGGAACTTGGCAAAAGGAAGGAGGTTTTGAAAGAATTCAACTGCTCGGTGGGGCTATTTGTGTATCTCTTCAGGACTCACTGTTCAAATTCTGGCAACTTGTTCTCTTTGTTCCATTGTGGATCATCGGCATATTGGAGTCATGGGTGATTTTGGGTTGAAATGTTTAGTGAAATGGAGAATGTAGTTGAAGTGATGATGATCTCAAATGATTTATCAAATAGGGTTAAAAAAACTTGTCATGGAGGCTGGAACTTTTTTCACCATGGAGATTTGAGGCCATATTTTTGCTGTTTTTCACTTTGGAGTCTATGAATGACAAATGGTAACGTTAGAGGAACTATCTCGATATCTGATCAGATGGGCTTATCTACTCTCTGCTCTTGTGTTTTCAAGTGTTACATATCTTTACTACAATGTAAGTTGTAAAGGGGGGTAGACCTTTTGGCCTGGATGCTTGAATTGAGTCAAAACATGCTTATTTGTTCTCAAACATAACATCAAGGGAACCTATGGTAGTAGACAATGTAGTCTAGGTATTAATGCAACTATTAGAAATAGAGCTTCAGTGGGGCAGAGTTAGGCAAATTGTAGGTGACCAAGTAGAAAACTAAGTTATGGATAATATTCAGATGTTATTGATCTTGAATTTGTGTGCACTTCAAATGTGACAATAAAGTGGTAAATGTAGCCATTCTTGTGTGATTTTTTTTTATTTGATATACCTTAATGGTCTGTGTTGCCCCTTTTGGTTGGGCCGTGCACTTTTTGAGTGATGCTTCTATCTGTTCTGCATTCTCCAAAGGCTGTTCTTTGGGTTAGAAAAGAAATCTGAGATTGCAAAAGAAAAAAAGAAGCAAGAACATCTTTTTGATGGGTTGGACATTCTAGCAAAAGTTGTGGAAATCTATCTGGGTCATTTGGTGCCTTGATGTGCTTCTCTATGGTTGAATCAAGGAAATTTTCCTGAGAGATGTTGATAAAGTTTGGAAGTGCTTTCGACTGATGATCCTCTTGTTTATTATCCTAATTATCTCTTCATTGAGGTTAACCTGTTTCATGCACCACTTGAATATGTTTTCATTTTGTAATTAAAATTTTCTGTTTTCATAAAAATTCAAAACTACCTGATTTACAACCAATCACCATGATTGCTTAGAGTTGTAATGATTATGTTAGTTGGCTGTCAACAGTGCGTCACACATAGTGCTAAAAATAGATGAACTTTTTCATACTTACCTAAAAAACAGAAAATACAAGCCTTAGTATATTGACCTGTGGCTTGTCAATCAATAAATCGTGAAATAATTAATATGCTCTTTCTCACTAGTTTGACCTTGACATTTAGGCCTCGTTTGGCAGGAGGCTATTTTAGTTAATTAGTCAAAAAGTTACTAAATTAGCCAAAAAGCCATCAACTCACACCAAAAAGTCAAAGATTCTCTTTTCTCTCTACTTTTTGCACATCTTTTCGTAATTAGCCAAAAAGTTATCCCAAATATACAAGTTTTTTTTACTTACCTTTTTAGCCAAATAGCCAAAAAGTTACTAAATTAGCCTGTTCTCAAACGAGGCCTTAGTGTTTTATCTTATTGCAATTCAAATAATATGGACAAGTTATCAGGAAATGGTCTCTTTATTTCTTTTCTTTTTTGATTCACCTGCAAGCATGATTTGCTTCGCTTGCAAAATTGTTCACTTGTCTATGTATTTTGTGATGACAAAGTTGTTATGTGATCTTACACTGGTAATCCATTTGTAAAGTTCTTTCTTGTCTGCCACCGCCAGTACCAAAAAGGAAAATAGAGTAAATTGAGAAAAATTAAAGTGTACTCTGTAAAATCTTACACTTTTAGATCTTATTGAATACCATATCACCTGATAGAATTGTTTCATTCTGCAGGACTCCGTACTATGCATCAACAAGAACTAGAAAAATTGACACTAACAGCACAACCTGTCAAAACATTTAAGTTTTTCATTTTGGCTGTTATTCAATATCTTAAGAGATCGGTATTATATCTTTTGGCACACGGTGGCTGGCTCATGGTTTTATGCACTGTTGTGGTGCTTGTTGGAATACTGCTTTTAACCATTGATGGCCCCCATGAAAAGGTATATTGTTGGTTTTTTCGCTTGGTGCATGTCACCTTTGTCTGGTTTCTGTGCATTGGCAGTGAATGTCTCTCTCACTTTCTCTATCAATTTTTTTTTATAAACTTAATAACCATTTTCAATGGTAGCTCCTCATTTATGTAATTACAGTCTAATTACAATATAAACAACTTTTTGGTCTTTACCATTTTACTGTGACTTTCTTCTCATTAAGGTTATGGTAGTTCATTTGGTCTCTTTGCCAGCCGATTTGAGCGGAGAGCACTTTTACACTTGTGATGAGGATCATTAATGTTGAAATTTTATTTTACAAGTATTCATTTATCTTGAGGCATACATCTTGTTAAGATACTTTGGATACTTCTTTCAAAAGATGAAAATGTATTCTTGACATGTTTTTGCAGCATGTTGAGGAGCTTCGTCAATATTTAGAGTTTGGATTGTGGTGGTTGGCTCTGGGTGTTGCATCTTCTGTTGGTCTTGGTGAGCAAAATTGATGCATGACATTATGAATTCTATCTTTTGATTGCGGTAGTTTATTTTCCATCAATATTATACATGATGAGTCTGTAATCTTGTTCTGTTATTTTATTTTGTGCAGGTTCTGGTTTGCACACTTTTGTCCTTTATCTAGGTCCTCACATTGCCTTGTTCACAATAAAAGCGATGCAATGTGGCCGAGTTGATATCAAAAGTGCTCGATATGATACAATACAATTGAAGAGAGGCCCATCATGGCTTGACAAGGATTGCTCAGAATTTGGGCCTTCATTGTTTTCATCTTCACATGGGTCACGGATTCCACTAAGCAGCATATTGCCTCAGATCCAAATAGAGGCCGTTCTATGGGGCATTGGGACTGCACTGGGAGAGCTTCCTCCATATTTTATTTCAAAAGCAGGTATTTGCATGAATAAATTTTTATAGTCTTAGATTTAAGGTAATATCTACAAAAATGAATTGGTGGAGGGATTTAAGAAGAAACTTGTGTCGCTGTTATTTCAGATTCTTAGAAGTTAGAATAGATTTATTTGAAATTATAAAACAATTATACTAGTGTTGGGGCCATGACCTATTTTTGGTCATGGTTTGTATTTTGGTTTGCATTTGGCGCCATTCCTTTAACATTCTCTAAAGCCATTTTAAACATTTTGGAAGCCTTCTAAAAATTGCTGTTTGGTATTGTTTTCATTAAAGTATTTTCTGTTCTTGAAATCAGGTAAAATGTAAATAATATAGATGATGCATGTGCAAATATGTTTCTGGAAACTGTTTTTAAGGAAATTTCTTGTGAACTGGCCATTTTCAGGAAACAATTTAAACTGTTTTCTGAGTTTTTAAAAATTTTGATACTTGAACAAATGAAAACAATACCAAAATGATTGTGTTTTAATATATTTTATTGTTTTTTATTTTCAAAAACTTCAAAAATGAGAACAATGAAAATGATACCAAACATGTATAGCTCTGAATTTTTGGAGAGCAACTTCAAGTTAAATTTGAACATCTTGTCTACATAGTTTGAGGTTTTAGCGATGACCCAAGAAAAATAAACTAAATAAATATTTGGGTTCGAGTTATAAACTTCTGGAAATAGTTATATAAGTTTACTAATTTCAATGACTCACAAAATTTGGTTCTTAGTAATCAGCCTATTAGAGTTTTAGTTACTGATTTGTTTCATGGAAACTAAAGACAATGTCATTTTATGTTCTGAAGGTCGATTCAAGCATGACTTTGTCAAGTAACAGTACTTATCATAGTACCTGTGTGTGTCTGCCCGTGTGCATGCATGGTATGCACGCATCTCACAGGAACTAGGGGTCGAGACCATGGGGAAGTTGTGATATATTCTAAGAAGCATGAACACTTATAAAAAGGTGGTGTGTCCGTTTTCGGACTCTTATAGAATTTTGCCTTTTCTATGCAGCTAGCGAGTCAGGTGACAGAGTGGTGGATGACTTGGATGATTCTTCAACTGAAGACAATGGAGTTGTAGCTACTCATCTATATAAGATCAAGCACTGGTTCCTGTCACACACACAATATTTGAACTTTTTCACAATTTTGGTGCTTGCTTCGGTTAGTTTCGATTCTCTCCCAATTTTCCAACATCACTTCATCATATTGTTCAAATTTCTGTTTTTCAGCATCTCTCACTAATACATGACTTCTATGATCCCAACAACAGTTGAATTAATCATTAATGTCTACTTTGACCATTTTATAATTTTTTTTAATGCTTCTTTCTTAGGCTCCTTTTTAATGACTCCTGTTAACCGATGTATCTTTTAGGTGCCAAATCCTCTATTTGACCTTGCTGGCATCATGTGCGGACAATTTGGGATTCCTTTTTGGGAGTTTTTTGTAGCAACATTGATTGGGAAGGCAGTCATTAAAACTCACATACAGGTTGGTGGAACTCTTATGATCATGCTCTTCTATATTGAACACAATTTTTACCTAGAGTTATTTGTTGCATTAAACCCTATTATTTGGTTTTTAGCTAATTGTTTGCTGTGTTTGTCTTCATTCATGATTTTGGCATGTTGAAATGTACTTCATTTGTCACAATTCGATGAAAAACAAAGGATATGACTGCTGTGAAATGGACTCTAAATGACTTTACTCTTTCTGCTGTTATTATGAAGCTATAGCCAGTTTGAGGGGTTGGCATCTGATTAGGTGTTTGGTTGGTTATTTTTTTGCAGACGGTGTTTATAATATCAGTTTGCAATAATCAACTTCTGGACTGGATTGAGAACGAGTTGATTTGGGTTTTTAGCCTTGTGCCCGGTTTTGCTTCTAACCTACCAAACCTCATCTCAAAATTGCATGCAATGAAAGACAAGTACATGGCAACCCCATCTCCTATGCCCTCAAATATCAAGGTTCATCTGGGTTTTTTGTTTATCTATTTATTTATTTTTTTGCCCTTCTTGTGTGGGATTTGACTGGAGAGTCCGAATCTATTTTTTGCTTTGTAAAATTGCATTCTTATATGTTTGCTCGCGTTTACTTTCATATCTTTCACAGGTGAAGAAGTGGGATCTTTCATTTACTTCGATTTGGAACACCATCGTGTGGCTCATGATTATGAACTTTTTTATCAAGATCGTGACCTCAACGGCTCAGACGTATCGTAGGAAAGAGCAGGAGGAGGAATTCGCATCAGGACAATCAAGTGAGTCTGAGCATTTGTCTTAATTGCTTCATTACAAGGGGAGGTCATGGAATTCGAGCAACCCTTTGATAAGTCGCCATTGAAGCCACCCCGGAAAACACTCTCTGCATCATAAGTCCTGTTTCGGAGACTTTGTATAGGATGATTCAGAAGCCTTAATTGGGGAAGCATTGTTTTAAGGGGAATTTAAGTGCCCTTGTTAGGTACTATTATTGGGATTGGGGAGATTTAGAAACTTGTTACTGATATTTTTTTTATGCAAGACAAAAAAATCATTTGCTTGCTCCATCTTTGTTCACAGTGCTTTGGACCTGTGAATAGATAATGATGATATATATACACAGAACAACTTGAACATCTCTCTCTCTCTCTCTCTCTCAAAAGTATGCTTATGAACCCATCTTGTTAATATAACATTTGATAATTATGGGAGTAGTGTTATTATATTCTTCCAGTCAGTTGATTTGGACTGGGACAATTTTACAATTCCATTAGGGGTTTGTCGAATCTTGAATGGGTTGTTTGTGATTTTTCTTTTAATTTTATTTTGGAATTTTGTGTCAGACATTTTGTTGTGCATGCTTGGTGTAGTTTCTTAGAGTTGCTCTTTATTTTTCACCAGCGAAAGTATGAAAAATGTATACTTTTTGTTGTACAAAATTAATTTACATTTATGTACTCTAATGATACTCTTTATTTTACATATTTATCAAAACAAACTAATTTAAAAAATCTCTCAATACTTTTCAAATGTAGCTACTTTGCATAAATCTTGTTGAAATAGTTTTTGTATTAGTTATTCCGTTGGAGTGAGTAAAGTTGCATGAAACTAGTTATAATGGTTAACAAAACTCTTTTAAAGAAACCATTGGTGATGTTATAAGAATATACATATAGAGATGGATGATTGAATGTATCCCAACCAATTAGACTAGATTCTTCAATTTGTTACATTTAAATCTGAAAACATCTTCTTCTTTAAAAAAAAAATTTAATTAAAAAAATTAAATTTTCAATTAATTTAAATTATTTTTGTCACGTAAGTTTTATCAAACAGTATTGTTCGGTATTGAAAAAAGTAAATTATATTTTTTGTATTTGTTTCTCTATAGATGCACTCTACATGTTTATTTTTATATTTTTATAACAGTAAAACACGTTAGCAAAATATATAATCTAATGGATCAAATTGAAAAATTGCAATAAAATGCCACTAAAATAATAACTTTAAAATCAAGGGGTGTGAATATGATAAATACGTAAAGTTCTTCCATGTATAAAGCAACATAGTTAGGCCAATTATAAAGTGGTAATATTAAAATAGCAAAGTCATCATGGCACCACCCAATTTTCTCTATTGAAGACACACCAATGCTATATGCCACCAACTTCCACCACCCCAACATTCTTTCCTTCCAAGTTTTTCAACAATACTCCTAACATGGCATACATTAAAACTATAACATGGCCCCACAATTATTTAAGAGAAATTACAAATACGTATCAATTTTTTTTTTTTTTTTTTTGGAATTATCATTAAATTCTATCAACTTTTAATTTAGATAACTAGGTCCTATTTTCTATAATTTCTCTTAAATTTGTTATAAAGTTCAATTTTTCCTTTTTTTTTTTTAAACAATTTTTTGTAACATTTTTTATTTCAATTTTATCTTTTAACATGCGTACAAATTTCAATTGTTCTTTAAATGGCGATGGATGGGTGCTACTAGATGAATGTTAGAATTGTGCAAATGAGTCTTACCATTCAACAAATTTTATTTTATTTTATTTTTGTGATTAGTGGGTTTGCTTTTTACGTACTTGACTCATTCATGTTAGACTCTTATCGGTCTCTCATACCTGTTGGGTTTTGAATTCAAACAGATTTGAATTAATTCAAACAGATAGTAAAACGGGAAGGGCCCTGTTTGGGTGTGCATTAATTCCAAAACAGTTTATTTCTGTTTGAAAACGGGAAGGGCCCTGTTTGGATGAACAAAAAATCCAAACCAATTTAATTTGAATTTTGGATTTTATTTTAATAAAAAAAATAAAATTAAATTCAAATGTTGTCCAAAAAGATTAGAAGCCCAACCCAACCACGCACCCGCGCCCAAGCCCAGCCCAGCCTGCCCGACGTCCGGCGGCGCGCGCGTGTGATGATTTTTGGGTCCAATGGGTCTAGCCCATTTTGCCCATAACCTCTCCCTCTAAAACACTTGGGTACCCCTTGGGGCACACCCCAAGTATCTCACCCTAAGCCTTATAAACCCTTTCAAAACCCCCCACCAAATCAATGTGGGACAAGCCAATTTACAACCTTAAGGAATTTCCACCAAAACTCCATTTCCATGGAGCACACTTTGGCTTCAATTTCCCATTCACTCGGTAATGGTTTTGAGCAACCAAATATACCACGTGAATCACAGCGCGGCATAGAACCCGTTACCACTTTGACCCGAGTAAATTGACACTCGGGGCCCACCTAAAAAATAGACCGAACTTAGGAAAAAATTCTGGTTTTATCCAGAATTTTATAACCATTTCCAACAAGATTTGTGTCAAAATCACAAAAAAGACTTAGTATTATATTACAATAATTAATAATTGTCGCTTGATTCTCGCTCTTCTTGCATTTTTAGAAGCGAATAAATCAATCATACTTGCATAATCTAATTTTTTTGTAAAATCATTTTCAATAGATAACAATGCTAATTATTTTAAATGGATTTTTCAATTTTTTAATGGATCAATTTATTTTAAGTTAGTTTGGATCTCCCTTTTTTTTTTATTTATTTAAAACATAAATAATATATTACAATAAACTATAATAGAAAGGGACCCCTCTTTTTTGGTCTATTTTCAATGGATAACAATGTTAATTTTTTTGAATGGACCTTTTAATTTTTTAATAGATCAATTTATTTTAAGTTAATTTAGATCTTCTTTAATTTTTTTTAAACTTAAAACATATTTAAAATATTACATTAAATTATAATAGAATGAACTCCTTTATAAATTTATTTTAAGAACCCTAGGCCATGGACTTGTTGGACCATGGCAAGGGCCAGCACCGACTCCTATCCTATTTTGTATGGTAAATGTTAACTGAACATTATTTAATATTAAAATTGAGATAAAGATTATATTAAAAATAGGTATAAAAAAATGAATACATATTAATTCAATAAAGAGTGTCATATTATTTTAATTTTCTTGGCTAGCAATGATCCAAAGCTTCAAGGCCATGGTGCGAGTCCAAAGCTATATAAACGACCACAGAAAGCAAAAGACCCTTCAATTCTCATCACAAACTCCCCAAGGACACAAAAACCTTTCAAATTCTCTCTCAAGAAGGACCAACCAAGCCATGGCTTCAAGTGCAGAGCATAGAGCCATGGCCCTGTGTTTAGCCATTTTTGTAACCTTGCAATTGCAGGTGTCCATGGCAGCAGTGTACAAGGTAGGAGACTCAGCTGGTTGGACCACCATTGGCAATGTCGATTACAAGAACTGGGCTGCTACTAAGACTTTTCATGTTGGAGATCTCATCCGTAAGTCTCTTTTGCTGAGTGTCTTTGTATATGCACCCTACATGTTTGTGTTTATGTTTGTTAGGACTGTTTATTTGTGTTTTTTGGGTAATTGGATTATTTGATTCTGACCGTCCATTCGAAATTCCTATTCTCTAACTGGGTTGTCACCATTTCTCTGTTTGGTTGCTGAGAAAAGGCTAGAAAGAAAGAAAGAAAGAAAGAAACTTCAAATACTTGTGTTTGGTTTTGAATTATAAAAAAACGTGAAGCGGTTAAAACCCCATATATTTATTTATATGATGTTTGTATTTATGTTTTGTTAGACTGTTCATTTGTGGTTTGTGGGTAATTTGGGTTAATTGGTTCTGACCCTCCATTCAAAATTCCTCATTACCAATTAGGTTGTCACTACTTCTCCGTTTGGTTGCTGGGAAATGGCTAGAATGAAAGAAAATATAAAGATTATATTTTTTGTCTATTGTTTGGTACCCAGGGTAGATATACCTCCTTTTCTCACTCACAGCTGGGGATGACACAACAATTTAGCTTGATTTTGATCTTCTTTTTTGAAAAATCTAGAAATCTCCTAAATGTTGATTTGTGATTATGTATCAATTTTAAGCAATATATAACAATCCCAACCAAACAATCAAGACAAATCGACACAACGATTTTACGTGGAAAAATCACAATTGGACACCTCCAATTGTGATAAAAAAAACCACGGGCAACAGCCACAAAACAATCCACTAAGAAGATGTAAAGGAATTACACAGGTATACTCTCAATTACCTAACGAATCCACGCTCGAATTGAACCAACCTCTATGTGCCTCCTCCAACCCCGTCTTCACCTCGGAATTGTCTTGACGGTGAGCCACTCCGGAATCCACCAAAGCTTCAGGCTCGAATTCTTCAGAATCCACCGAAGAACAACTCTCTCTTTTGTGTAGAACAAACAAATAATCCTTTGATGTATACTCTTTAAACCATGAGTTGAATACTCAATCAAAACATCAAAGAAAACTAGCAAAATATCCCCAGATATAAACCCTAGAACCCTAGAACCCAAGAAGAAGATCTAGAGAAGTAATCCTAGATTTGGATTGAAACACGTATTTATAGAAAACTGTCCCGCGATCTCCGCTCGAGTGGACCAACGCTCGAGGGCGGAAAGTTCCGCTCGAGCGGGAAAAAACAACATCCAGTATTTTTGCAAGCGAACTAAACTTCTGGAACTTAGCATTCTCCGCTTGAGCGGGGGGATGGACGCTCGAGCGGGGAGGCAACTTTGAATGCATTTTTACATTTTGCTTCGGAGGCGCTGCCTCTCGACCCCGCCGTGGCGCTGCCCTGAACCCGCCAAGGGGCGCTGCCCCTTGGACCCCTGCGAGCTGACCGGGCAGCTCGATCCCCGTCATAATCAGCGAAGTGGCAATCTTGAAAGTATTAACATCACAAACTTTTCTGCAAGGTACAATTTGGGTTGGATTCGCATCTAACAACTCATATTCTCACTGAAATAAAAATGCGAAAAAAATTACTACACAAAGAAGTTTTGTCAAACGGGATTGCCAAGAATAAAACCTAATATTTTTCAAATACGTTTGGACATCAAAAACATGCGAGAACTTTCTTTCCTTTTTCTCGATTTTCTGGGCTACCAAACATTCAACAGGAAAGTAAATTCTCTTTTTCTGGGTGCTCTCCGTTTCCCTGTCTGTTTGCTTAGGCTTTGGGTGACGCGTGCGTGGGGGGCAGCATGGATGCCACGTGGACTATGTGCCACATGGACATCTAAGGGTCAAGTGTCTCACCGTTTGGGAATCTGAAAGAGAAAAAATAAAAACAAAAACAAAAAAACAAAAAACAAATGAGTTATTAAGTTAGGTGAGAAAAGAGAAAAAGGAAAAAAAATTGTGTTTTACTTTGTTCTTGTTTGGTTAAACTGGTTAAGCTGGAGTGGAAAAAAATTAATTTCTTTCATATTTTGTTTGGATTATATATAAAAAAAGAAAATAAACTATTACAGACTATCCTATCAAAATTACTTTTCTATGTTTTTATCTCTTTGCTATTTTTTAGATAGATAATTTTGTTATTATAAAATTTTAATGATCACTTATTTCTTTTCTCTTCGAATCTCTCAATTTTTGGACAAATTCAAAATATGGGATGGAAGAGAAACAAGTTTTTCTCTATTTCTTTCTATTTTTCCAATTTCTTTCTATTTTTTATTTAGTAATTCAAACAGGTAATCAGGATAAGAAAAATCCATTTGTTTTCTTTTCTCTCTAAATGACTCATTCGAAAGTGGATTTCAGCTCGGCTTGTTTGCAGCCCTAATTAGAGTACTTAATTTCATAATCTAAGGAGCTAAGACTTCATGATTTTTCTCCCAACACATTAATCAGTTCAGCTAGAGCTCATTGGTTATAAGTTGCCTGCTTGTAACAACTACAATACCCATAATCCAGAGCACTGGTTATATACTCTGCTACGAGCAATGAATCAGCACATAGCCTGAATTGGTTTCAACTAGAGAAGAGACCTATGGATTTGAACCAAATTCTGGGATGTACATAGGAGAAGTAGGAAGAGCACATCTTTTCACAAATTGTAATACCATACCTGAAAACAAATCCTCGGCTTCTGATTGGATGTCGAGTTGCAAGTTCATTGATCGAGAACTAACATTCAGGTTTTACTAGTAGAGCCCTGCAGCGTGCTATGTCTTATCGGTGATGGCATACTTTGAGGATTTGAGAGTATAATTCCATAGTTCTAAAATGGTAATATGTCGTGACCAACACCGACATGATACGACATTCGTCAAACACTTCTTCCAATGCTTGGACACATATGAAACACGTTACAAGTTTGAATAAAATAACTTAAAATTCAATGAGAACACAAAAACTATGTAAATTTATACTTATTCTCTATGAAGCACGGGTGCGGGTGCAGGTGCGGGTACAGATTTGCTGATACAGCAAGACTTAAAAAAAATAAGATATGAGTACGGTTGGAATACGTCAATAAATTTTTTTATTTTTTTTATAAATTATAGTTTCAAATTCAACCTACAATCAAAGTTCAATAACAAAACTAAAAGGAAAAATTACAAAATTAAAAGATGAATCGTGATTTAACAATACCAATACCAATACCAAAGCAAAGTCCACAGGATATTTTAATGCCATTAAATAGAAGAAATTACAAAACAAAGTTTCATTCCAATAGCAAGCTAAGTAAAATTTGAAAAGTTGAAACTTCAATTTTCACTTCCATCAACTTTATCATGAATAATACATCTTTTATCTCTAACACATCAAGTAAAGGATTTGTAATTTCAAATAAATCAGAACTATTTAATAAATTAAAACGCATCTCCGCCAATGTTCCATAGTTTGGTGTACCCTCGATGTACCAATCTCATACCCACAGAGTACCCAACTGTAAAAGAATGTATAAAAAGTACCTAGTATGTATTTCGAGTATCCGGTACACATTCAGCCCTATCGGTACAAGTATCAGTACTCAGTACGAGTATGGCAATATTTTCGGAGTTCCCATGCTTCATAGTCTATTCTACTCTTTTAGTCTTTAAATTTGTTTATCTTTTACTTAAATATTCATATATGACATAATAATTATTTATCCTTATATATAACATAATAAGTATATAAAATTATATATTTTGCATGTATCCTTGACATATTATGTCTTAACATATTTTGAAAATTTTTGTGTTTTGTGTGTCCATGTTGTGGTTGTGTTCGTATTCGTGTTCGTACTTCATAGACGGTAAGCATTTCTGCAGTGTGGCCTCACTGTAAAGGCTTGTCATTGGCATCTTGGTGTTAGGGATTCAAGTCACAGAAACCATCTCTACAAAATAAGGGTTAGGCTGCGGACATCTTGCCTCACCAAACTATATTTTAGGAAGTGTTTTGGTTCACCCTTTTTCTATAAGGCTTCCTCAATTTTCATTTGAGCTCAATGGTAATGCTCTAAGGCCACGCTTCTTTACAAGATTAAATGGCAGGATTAAATGCCTGACTCTTATTTGTGTGTACTATGATCTGATCCAATTGCTTCTATGTTGGTTGTTTGTGTCTGCACTTGTTAAGCTAACAAAAATTATGTTGAATGGTAAACCAGTTTTCGCATACAACCCTCAATTTCACAATGTGATGCAAGTCACCCATGCCGACTACAAAGCATGCAATGCTACTACCCCGATCGCCACCCACACCACTGGAAACGATACAATCACCATCACCGCTCGCGGTCACCACTTCTTTCTTTGCGGTGTCCCTGGTCACTGCCAAACTGGACAGAAGGTTGATATTAACGTGCCCCGTACTTTGTTGGTTCAAGCTCCTTCAGGATCCCCCTCCTCTCTTTCAACCACCACAACCACCGTACCTGCACCTTCTCCAAGCAGCACTGCTCCATTGTATGCTTTGATGGGGCTTCTTGGTAAGCTCGGGTTGTCTATGGTTGTTTTTGCTGCTTTTGTTTCCGGTTTTGCTTAGCCAGGGAAGAGTCAGTGTAAGGCCTTTTGGGTAGTCTGCTGTGTCTATTGGGACTCCATGGGACTACATGTACTTTTGTATTAAAACTTGTGTATTCAAATAATTGTATTACAGTTCATACTAGTTTTTTGTGAATGGAAACATGAGCCAGTGCCAGTTTGATGTTTAATATATATATATATATATATAATAATAATAATAAATAATAATTGAGCCAGTTTGGAACTCATATTTGTGGAATTAATTTTTTTTGTGCTAATTTCAATCTCAAGTGAAACAAACAAGAGCCTGCTGCAATTTTGGCTTAATTAATTCTACTTTATTTTTGTATTCTCAATTCAGCATGTGTACACGTATGTACACTTTTTGGGGGGATTAATTTGGAATAAATGGATGAGATGAAAGATTAGATATGATGGATTTTTTTGGTACTATAAACCATTATTCTTGAATCCAATGGTTCTGTGGTGCAACTTCAAACAAGTTTAAAATTGATAATCAAAAAATAAATAAATAAAAAACATCTCCTCCAGTAATAACCTTTTTAGGTTATTTATTTACCTCGTAAATAGTAAATAAAAAAAAATTTAAAAATATATATTTAAAAAAGAGAATCTTATGCAAACTTCATAGTTGCACCAAATAACCTCCATCTCCTCCTTCCAACAAGATCACTTGCATGGTGAAATCAAAGTGCTTACTATTGCACTGACCTATGTGTAAGTTACCAGAATTTGAATCACATCAATTTTTATTTTTTTATATATCAAAAAATAAAAAGGCTCAATGTGCTTCTTTTATGGGTCCCATATACACCACTCATGGAATCGTTCTACAAGTCACAATCTTGGCATCCCTAAAGCTCTTTAAAGAGTATTTATTTTAAGAAAAATGTTTGAGGGCCACAATTTTGGTGGCTCAAATGGCTCAAAATTGCCAAAACGACGTTGTTTTGACAATTTTGAAATAGTTTTGTACTCAAAACGACGTCGTTTTGATAATTTTGAAATAGTTTTGTACTCAAAACGACGTCGTTTTAGCAATTTCGAGCTATTTAAGCCACAAAAATTGTGGCCCTCAATCATTGCTATTATTTTAACACAATGTGTAAAGGTTGTAAGCACAAATGTGTAAAGGTAGTAAACTCGAAGTACCATTTTTACTAACCAAAGTTACCTGCCTGTGCCTGACCATAGAAAATGAACTTTTTCCTGCCCCATTTCAAAATGCATGTAGCATATTTAGTTAGAACCAAGAGCATCATGTTCATCGTACAACTTCCTCAAACAATCTAACTAATACTTTATAACTTCTTGTCGTATTGATTGTATAAAATACAAGATATTTCTGTGTGGTCCATGAGCTGCTGACATGGCAAAACACCCAATAAACAACACAGCAAATAAAAATCATATGCCCTAGGAAGATTTACAAAGATCACAGAATAGACAAAATCAGATTTCCGGTAACAAAAAAATAATGATAGGGGACACAGATGAAAGAATTGGTCTGTCCGAAAATATCAGACGGCCTCAACTGGAGGAGTGATCTTGAGCCAGAAGACCATTAAGTAGTGGGATCTCTGCATCTGCATTCCTCAGTACCGATAATTTGCTACGTTGATGTTCTCTGCCAACATAATAATAAAAAAAAGGGGGGGAAAAACGAGGGATGAGAAACTTGAAACAAATGGAAAAATGGGGTGAAACATTACTACACTTTAACTTTCTCATATTTTTCTTTAGTGTTAGACATGGAGCATTAGGCTGTGTTTGGATCAAGAATTTGAGGAGAAATTTGTTAAGGGAAAGGGAAAAAGAAAATTCCCTTTTTCTTCACAAATCCCCTCTCAAATTAGTATACTCAGAAATGCAAGACCCAAAAGCTGCACCTAATTACTGCAGGAGGATCATCTTCTTGGCAGAAAGTACAAGTGCATGTTAAAATGTAATGCTAAAGAATTTTCACATTTTCAAGCTATAGTTAATACATAATAAAATTCAAACTACGATTGAAAACAATTTTATGGTTTTCAACTTTCAGTGCATTATAATTTTGAGAAGTATTTCAAACGCAAAGACAGAGTAACGAGTAGCCTCAGCATATATATGCAATCATATCAATGAACTCATCAAGAAAAACTCTTCTTTCTTTTCACAGTTTATTGGAGAATGTCCAAAAGCCACTCAAAGCCAACTAGCAAACCTTGTTGATCACTGTCAAGAAGTAACTGGTAGAAGAAAAAAAGCGACTCGTTGACAATTCACCAAAATAAAATCCGGAAGAAAAAAAAAAGAAAAAAAAGAAAAAAAGTAGAAGTCATGCATGAAAGGCGAAACCGAGATTTGCATGAAATAAAATTCAAAAAGACCTTTGTCCATCTGATTGGGTACTTTCCTTTTCGTTATTGGGTAGCAATCTGGATATGATCAAGACAACCATATTATTGACTTGTCATGGACCAAAAAACACTTTTTGGCAACACCTGTAAACATCTATCTACAAAATCTAGCTCCTATGAATTATTTTGAACACGTAAGAAATATGAGTGCATGTCTTTTTACACAGCAAAACTAAATAATGGGTCATATTATTCACATAAACAATAACTAGCTCTAGCTCTCAACCTATCAAATTCATTAGTTCAAAGGCGAGGTAAGAAAGTTGACAAGACATATATGGGTCAAGCAGCATAGAGACCTTACACTAGTTGATTGGAGCTCTACTGTAGCTGAATCCTCATTATCCTGTAACACATAAATATTTTTTAATCATCATAGCCTATTGCCTTTAGATTAACATGAAAGAAATAATCCAGCTGAAATAATACCTCGATTAACAAGTCCTTTCTGGTAATCATACCAATAACACGAGAAACACGGGGAACAACAAATATATGCCTTAATCCTAGCTGACGGAAAAGATTATAAACCTGTCCAAAATGTAACATTTCTTCACATGACACTCTAAAAGCACACACCATTCATGCAAGATAACTATATGCAAATACGAAAATATAATGGATGCTAAAATTGTCACCTTTGTTAAAGACATATCTTCAGAAACAATGTAGGGGGAGGGGTTTACAAACGGTGCAAGATCTATGTACATTTCCAAGTCATCTGGAGTTAGATTGATATCATGGATGGAAATCCCTTTACTCGAAACAGGTTTTACAAATTCACTGAAATTGTGCCTGGAATTCAGAGGATTCATTGATTTTATAGAACACAACTTAATAGGTAACACTGGAACTAATGTCAAGCATTCACTTACCTGATTGGCAAAGAACCACCTCTGGAATCATTGGGCAAAGGACTGTGCTGAAAATCTACCTTAGATTGCAGAAGTACCAATAAATGGCTGCATTACAAATCAAATGCCTGAGTTACTTTCAATTTTCAACCAAATCTGCTGAATACAACACCAAAAGGAAACTAGTAAATGCAATGGAAGTTAACAAACTACACAGATTCATTATGGTCTACCTGCGAAGCATTAGTCCAGTAACAAGTGTTTCTCCACTTCTTGCGTGATCTATCACCTGGATGGCAATAAAACAAGGAACATTATTTAAGAGATCATATCATATAAACGTTAAACAAGAAACTGAGTAATGGACAAGCTTTAACTTACCGGGAAGCCATTGTGATTGTTGCTTTTCAAAATAAAAACTATATCCGCAACCTTAACAACACGAGGTAAGTAAACAACCTGTCAAAAGTTAGGGAGATAACAAATCATAAGCCGAAACAGGGATGCCAACAAAGAGATGAAAATTATGACATTTAAGAAAAGGCCACACAACACAGCACGCAACATTTCCATGCGTTTTTGGTTATGTATAGTCACATTAATGTTGCAAGTGAAACCAAAGTGTGGTTTGGTTAGGACTACTTTTGATAGATACAGTGCACATTTTGAAATAATAAACACTTAAAACATCAAAATTACCATTTTTTTAAGGAGAAACTACAAGGTTAATGGAAATAAAAATAAAAATAAAAATTCTCCAATTGAAAGCCAATTTTATGAAATGGCCAACCATTTGAAAGGCTGCACAACCCAGAAACACCATCTTTTCGTTAAATTTCAGTGGCTCCAATTTAAGAGGGCTTTTGGTTCAAGCGCCTCATGTAGGTTGCAGAAAGTCATAAAAACAAGGAATTTGAAAGCATTCAAAGAGATCTACCTTTCGATTCCCGCATACCCCTTTTGCCGTCATTTTCCGCATTTCGTATTTAGGTCTTGATTCAAGTAATGGAATGCCCCTCAAATGAGCCTGTTCTTCATACAGACCTTCATTGAAAGCATCACCAACAGCCTGCAGTGTAAAAACTGAGTATGTTCCATGGCTTAACTAGGTGTAACTCGCAAAAGTTTTAGTAACACACCTTTGATATAAGGAGAACAAGCATGATAAGAGGTAGCAACTTCAAGTTATTTGTAATTTCAACCATAATGACACAAAGTGAGACTGTCATTCGCATTGAACCTCCAAGGAAGGAAGCGGCTCCTAGTAAAGCATATCTAAAATTCCACCAAGATTCACAGAAAATACTTTAGAAAAAAGATTAAGTACGGAAAATATTATATCTCTAAAAGTTATAATTTGGGGCAAGGAGTTGGAGATGGGAGCTACAATTGAGAGAAAATTATATTTCTGAAAAAGGAAAAGAATCATAATAAATACTCTGCATATGTTAGTCTACAGAAATTAATGAACTTGGCAAAGAAATTAAATACACCCATCATGCTTCAAAATAATGTTCTATCCCGTGTGTAATAAATTAAATACTTAAACACACATTAGTTTTAGGTTATCAAAAAAAATTCACCCATCATGCTTCAAATTAATGTTCTATCCCATGTGTAATAAATAATATTTTGGTGAACTTGTATTAGCAAGTTCGTTATGTGTTTAAATATCATCTACTACCTTTGGATGTCATGCTTAGTGCAACAAAGGGATGTTCTTTGCATGCTAGCCAACTTTGCACCCCACCATCAATTGTTTTGTCCACATTCCAATACTTTTAACTATAGATTGTTCAGCATATATTTTATAATTTCTTAAAGTTTTACTAAAAAAAAATCAATATTTTATTTAACTTCCAAAGTCTTTCAAGAATTGTTTGAATCTCCACCATCAATAATTTTTCTTTTTCATTGATTTTTAGAGCTCAACAACAATAACATATTTTTCCTCAAAAAACATGCCATTCAACAATATGCATAAAATGCATATGCAAGCTCTAATAAAAAGGTGATTGACAACTTGTAAATAAAATACAATAAAAGAAACAATTACTCACGTTCCCTCTTCAATGTTAAGTTTCTTGTAAAAGCTGACAACAAACATGCCAACAAGACGACCATACGTTGATCCAATCATAATTCCAGGAACAAATTGACCAGCCGGAACAGCAGTTCCAAATGTCACCACTGCTAAGGTATAAAACATAACCTGAGAATCACCACAAAAAAATAAGAAGAAAGAATTCAATTAAACTCACAAAAGAATAATAAAATTATCTCACGCCCTATGGAGACAGTTTTTCAGTTATTTTACATTCACGGTTGACAGTCCATTAATAAATATCAAAACATAATTGGATGGCCTTACTTGGTAAGGTATTCCAAAAACAGATAAAACTAAATTCTTAAATGTTGAAAATGATAAAGTCTATAGGGAAGCAACTCCACCTCTGATATCGTGGACTATTCATATACATGTTATTGGGAAAGAGAGAAAAAAAAAAAAGTACCACTATAGGCACATATGAAAAACAAACATCCATGTCAATTTGACAAAATAAGGGCCCATTCAGTTTTTGGTTTGTTTTTTGTTTTTGTGTTGCTGTTTTCAAAATTTTAGAAAACACAAAACAAAAACATGTTTGGCCCGTGTTTTCATTCTCAATTTTATTAAAACTGTTTTCAAAATCGAAGTGAAAATAGAAGGAAGGTTTTTCAACTTATGCTGGAAACAGGAGAAAACATTCAGACGAACAGTGCACTTAAAAGCAGAAGCCATTCCCCATGTCAAACTCTCTTGGCAGCAAAATCTAAGCCAAAGGATATTTCCTACTCAAAACAGTAATCGCACCATTAGCCCCTGGCTCTCTCTCCATTCATTGATTACCTGATTAGAGCTTGAACTGAAACATCTCCTCCCAATAACTGTCACCAAAAGTTGACCACTATTGTATATATTTAAAAAAGTTGTCATGACTACCTAGACCCAGAAGTCAGAATCGTTTAAAAGGCCAGACTTGTCAGTGCTGCAACCTCCCGTTGGCAACCTCTATTCAATGCTGTCAATGTGGTTTTACTTTTTTTCATTTTTGATTTTAGTAAATAAGACATGTCTATTGATTGCAAGCTTGAATGAAAAGGTACAGCTTTGTATCAAACTTGTTAATTTGGATGGCTTTAACCATTGCTTTTGCTTTGTTGGTGCCACTTGTTGAAATTTGGGGTTGTTTTGGGAGGTTGTGGTACCCACATATGAGTTTTTCTCTCGTTGGCATATGAAGTGTTTGATCAAAAGCTATGCTGGAAATTTGTGTTCATGTATATAATATGATAGTGGTGTTGGTGGAAGATAGTGGCATGTATAGAATATGATAGTGGTGTTGGTGGAAGATAGTGGCATGTATATCATATGATAGTGGTGTTGATGGAAGATAGTAGCATGTATAGAATATGATAGTGGTGTTGGTGGAAGATAGTGGCATGTATATAATATGATAGTGGTAGATAGTGGTAATATATAATATGTAAGTGGCATATAATGAGTTATAATGATGTTTGTAATATCTCCTATATAAGGAGTGTCATTTGGTCTTGTAAGATAAGAAGTTTTGAATATAACAGAAATATATTCCTTCTTCCCCATATTTTCGGAGTTCTTCTTCCTCATATTTTCTAAGTAGCTAGAATAAATGGCTTCGCTTCCTTTTCCCTTTTCATCAATTACATGATCAAACGTGTGCAATAAGGACAAAGGAGCCATACAGTGTTTCATTTACAATATATAATTTTTACATGGTTAGAATATTGAGCTGTAAAATAAATGTTTTTGCACAACCAAACCTATTTTCATTTATATAAAACCATATACAACCAGTTTGGGTTCCAAACATACATATTACCTATTTATGTTTTCTAGAGAGAGAGAGAGAAAAAAATTGTTTTTTTTTTTTTTCTTTCTGTTTTTAAAAAAGAAAACTGGTAATGCAACCAAACGTCTATTAAATATGAAACTCGCTATTCCAAAAATGAAACAATTTATAGATTGGCATCAACATATAAATTAAAATTACTGATTCTAAGAACTTCACATATAATGTGAAATACCTAAAACATAAATTGAAAGATATTATAATCAATCATACGAAAATGCATACACATTATTAGGTTATAGAATATTTCACATAAAAGGGACCTTCGTTCACATAAACCCAAAAGACACAAGTTAAGTGAAGATGCACAATACCAGAAAGGTCAACAGGCCTTGGGCACTGTATTCATGAATTGTTTTTGCACTAAACAAGTTTCGTATGGCATCATCCTACAACCAGCAATGCAAACGCTATTAGAACATGAAGACCATAAACACAACACGGGAACTAGCAACAAAAGATGAATGCTGCCAAAATGCCAAAATTCACTAACCTGAGTATTAAAGAAGATCGTCGCAAGATCATTGTATTCATTGTCCTTGCCACAGAAAAACTGCAAATGGCAGAAAAATTAAATAAGAAAAAGCAGAGGCTAATGCAGGAGGAGACTCAAATATGGTGTCCACTATAAATTGAATGAGTTTCAAGAACAAGAAATGACAAGGATTAATAAAGTTATAAGAGCAAAGATTGAAAGAATAAATATTGTACAAGCATATTGTAGTCTTAGAAGGTTCTACTATATATATGTGATAGGTAAATGAGCGCCAGTTACATTCAAGTGTCATGACTAAGGGCAGTCCAATGCACAAGGCTCCTGCCACTGTGGGATCTGGGGAGGCCACGCAGAGAGATTGTTTTCGTGGTTTGAACCCATGACACCAATTCACAATAGAGCAACCTTACTACTACACCAAGGTCCGTCCTCGAGAGTCATGACAACTAAGCACAATACAAATGAACAACTCCGATGTTTTTGCTATATATTGATTATAGCAATGAATAAACCAATGAAAATGGACAAATATACAATGAAAATGCCTTGTGCAAAATTTTATGGATCAAGCAACCCAGGGCCCTCATTAGACATTTTCCTTATACATTGACTCCCCTTACATCTGAAATATGAATATTAAACACCAAGCAAAAACAAGCGATGATAATAAAATTGTTAATTGAGTTTCTTGCGAATTTAAAACACTAGGGTTCCTACACTTCATTTATAATTTTCTTTTTCAAACTTAAATTGGTCATATACAGTTCAAAAAACAAAATTGCAACAAAAATTAAGCCTGATACTAAGATTTCAAACTTCATGGCATCTATCCTTAGTTGTTCTGTTTTATTTATTCCCGCACTTCTATCCTGTACTGTTATAGTTAAAATAAAATTAAAAATCAGTTAATCATCATAACCTTGTACACTGACCACCAGCATAAACACAAACATACCAACGATAGTCAAGTGCAGTAAGAATGTACCATTCATCTCTGTGCCATTAAAACATGAATCCATACAATTACCAAATAACCTGTGACTCAGTCAACTTTTCATAGAACAGGGCAATTGGAAGTAAAATTTGCTTTTCAGAGTTAAAAAGCAGATTACAAATTTGATCAAAAAAATGTGAATCCAGAATCTTCCTTTGGCAGTACAATTAGACCAGTTGTTTAGGGGATTCATATGGTAAACTCGTTTCACCCCCTCCCCACAATTTGTAAAGATAACGGCGTTCAGAGAATAATTTGAACAAAGTACTGCAAACACCCAAATATATATATATATATATAAAAAATAAAAAATTGAAATAAAAATAAACAAATAAGTTGCACCTTTGGAGAAATTCAAAATGTTTTGTCTACAACACCATTGCGCAACAATTAAATTAGAACACAGAGTTCAAGTAATTAATAAAAGATAAAATCTAACTTATCAAAAAAAAAAAAGGTGAAATCTATTTTGAATGAAAATCCAACTAGATAGAAAGCAATTATAAAGCAAAACCTTAATACAGACGCAATATAATTGAAAAGAAAGGTAAAGACCAGTTCCAGATCTTACATTTACATAATTCCCATACATTCCAGGTGGCCGAGGGCATTCAATACCAGAACTGGGGTCTGATTCGGGGCAGGGAGTGCACTCTCTAAAAAGGGGTAATCCAAATGAAATGACTGAGGTGATCAAGGAGATAAGACACACTTCAATAATCTGAAATATTAGCAGGGGGAAAAGTCAAGACTATTATCATGGCATTCACAGGACAAACATAAACCAATACAACCAATTGCAGTCTCCAATATTATACTCAGAAGCTTACTTTGACCCGGTTTCCCTTCTTGTGCAAATAATTCCGGCGCCAATAAGTGATATAACGTGTAAGCTGATTGAATAAGGCTCCTGCATAAGGGGAAAAATCATTCATGTATATATACAAATCATACACTGAATGCAAATCAAAATTGACAAGACTTATTTACTTTTTCATGAGTAAGAATGTGGTTCTAGTGAACTACCACCTACCGAGAAGACCTCCTATAACACCAATAACTGCCATTGGCAATAACTCCTCAAATGAGTAATCCTCTTGACCACTAAAAAGAACTCTAGTTAGAAAGCCAGAAAGAGCTCAAACCAGAGGTTATTATAGAAGACAAGAAAGTTCAGATTCTAACCCTGAGATGTCCCATATTATGAAACCACCCGAGCCGAAATGTCCACACTTCCCACTCTTACACCATCCCATTGCAGTACGCACCACAACAGCCACAATGGCAGAAGTGAAAAAGACACGCCACATAAGTTGACTCCTCCACCTTCAATGTGAATCAATATCAAATAACAATACATTTAACTCTTGCATATATAGATGAGTAAATCCACATAATTAATGTAGACAAATACACCTGTGTATACTTACTAATATTAGCCAAATACGTGCATACAAATGAGTGCATGTGCTACTGTAGATACAAATATGTGTGCATGTGTGTGTGTGTGTGTGCACGTGCGTGCGTGTGCATACATTGAACTGCATATGCCAACACACATTCACATGCAAATGTTTGCATGGACAGAGATGCATATATTTGTAAACACATGTACCAACATGCATCCGCTGTGGAACATGCAAAATAAATGAACACAAATAAGTAACATACATACTCACATATATAAGCATACATACATATTCATATTATACATATGCACAAGCAGCTAAGTAAAGCAAACGACTTACCATGATGTAACTTCTTCCAATGCAAATAACACACCACCAACTGGAGCTCTGAAAGCAGCAGCAACTCCAGCTGCACATCCACAGGTTACCTTTTCAAACCATTAGATCAATTAAAAAATGAGCACAATAGGTAACGTCATCTCTGTTGTTAAGGAACCAGCAGAGACACATCTACTAACACTTTGAGAAATGTGAATGGTACAAAATTAAGTTCTAACACTACAATAAAAATGTTGCATTTATAAACAGACTTATTTTATATAAAAAAGAAGTCATGTTTCTGTATAAAAGTAAACATACCAAAATGATGAGTTCGTTCATTGCATGGAAAGTAAACTAATTATAATAAAAAAAAGACACCAAGGGATGCCACCCATAAAAATGCATGGAAAAAAAAAAATACATCATATCTACTAAAAAACTACGAAAACAAAATTTGGTTCAAAGAGGATTAGCATCATTTGAGGACCAATGATAAAAAAAAAAAAAGGCCAAAATTTTACTTTTTAATTAAAATATAGAAGTTCCCAAACCATAGCGTCCGATTCTTAGTTGCACAAAGCAGGAGCGAGAGCGGGGAATTGTAGACATTCCAAGAATCATTGGTAGGGAGCATTTGTATATATATTAAATAATATAATATATATAAACATATTGTAAGATTATATTTTTTTTTTCTCTAATGATAATGAAAATATATGTTATAAATTTTTTTTTAAAAAAAAGTATAAAAAACAATATGTTAAAATATTATAATTATATACTTTTATTATATTTTTTTCATTCATTATAAATATTTATTCTAAAATATTTGTATTATTTTTTTATCTATTTATTTTAAAATGTTTTTGTTAAAAATTATTTGTTTTATTTATTTTCTTACAAAAATAAAATAAAAGAAGAGAGGGGAGAGCGAGAGGGAGAGGAGAAGAGGAGAAGAAGACAGATAAATGGAATAGAAGGAGACAGATAAATGAAATAGAAGAAGACAGATGAATGGAATAGAAGAAGATAGAGAGAAAAGAAGGAGATCAATCGATCGATCTCGAGAGAAGACGAGAGAGAGAGAGAGAGAGAGAGAGAGAGAGAGAGAGAGAAGACAGAGACGATTGACAGAGAAATTGAGGTTGAGAGTGAGGATGACAGATCTAGATAAGTTTCTTCTCTTCTTAGATTCGTGTTTCTCTAGCATTAGACTCACGATTCTTCTCCGATTCTTCCTCTGAAGCCCAGAATCGCGCTTCTTCGGTTGATTCGTGAGCAACTTCAGCGATTCCTGCTACTAAGGTCCGATTAGGTTCTCCACAAATGGCCCACATCAAAGCCAATAGCACCAAACTCTATGCCTTCTTCCTCCTCCTTCATACTCTCGCCCTCCCTCCAAGTTTGCACCATTAGAAGGGAATACCCACACCATATCAAACAAAACAAGAATCAAGAACCAAAACTCTATAGCCAGAGAACAATGAATAAGGAAACGGTACATGCAACACCATTACCGATGATAAAAATCTTACCATGCACAGCTGTCCAAACAAAAAAAACACAACATTGGAGAAAGCCTTTGTACCCTAATTGCCCTTCCAAAGAAAAGAACAAACTTTGTGGCCAACCAAAGCTCCATAATAAGATTTCACCTCAAACTTTCCAGACTTCAAACTCAACCAAAGCAAGGCATCCTCTCCCTCCCCCACATTCAACAAATCATAAACCAACCCAAGGAGAGTCACCAACTCCTTTCATTCAAATCTCAACAAAAAGCAATGTCCCAAAACACATGGCTTCCTTTTGTACTTGGGCGGTCACTGACTGCAGTTCCTCTATCCACCACAGTCCTAGCAAGAGATAAAGGACACCTCAAACCACAAATGTCATGCAATTCAAGAAATCATTCTACCCCATCCTAATGCCCTTCCTAAATACCCACTCCATAAGACAGGGACACCTCTCAAGACAACCAATTTCTGAAGATGTGACAATGCAAATGTTAAAATTACTAAAACATTTATGAACTGTAAATGTACTATGTTTGCAAACTTAGTACATGCCAAATATATGCAGTCAATGGAGGGAGAACATTTATCAAGATGAGACTTTACTAGCAAATTTGCACTCTGATACACATACAGTAAACACCTCAGGATAGACCAGTCACATTCTTTTTTTTTTTTTTGAAAATCAACAACAAAATTTATTAAAAAAGAGAGATAGGAGGACAAGAAGTCCTCATACAGAGAAAAGGAGTATAATGAAAATAAAAAACAGCCAACATAAAATAAGAGAAAAAACAAGCAAATCCAATCACTAAGGGTTGCAAACAACAGTCCAATCCCTAGAAATCAAGAAAAGAGGGATTCCCCTAAAAGGCGGAGACACAAAGGCCCAAAAAGATGCCAAAAATCCAGCCCTATCCCACAAAGAATCTGCATCAGCCTCCTGTTCGTCAAAGATCCATGAATTTCTCTCCAGTCATATGATCCAGAAATAGCACAAACAATACAAGACCACAATGTCTTGGCTCTCTTAGAGCCGCCGAACCCATCAAACTTAACAAGAAGCATATGTGTGCAATCCCGTGGAGCAACCCATTTAACATCACACAAGCCAAATAGACGCTGCCATAACTGAATAGCCACCGAGCAACGAAGAAAGAGATGATCCGCTGATTCCGAACTCCTCTTGCACATCACGCACCATTGAGGGCAAAGATAGTGATTTGGCCTTCTCCTTTGGAATAGATCATTGGTCATAATACCTCTATGAGCTAAGGACCGCATGAAAAACTTCACTTTATGAGGGACACCCGCTTTTCAAATTTTCATATGGAGAGGAAACAAAGGAACAGAAGACTTATCAATGAGATTATCAAACAAGGATTTACAAGAAAAAACCCCTGAAGAGCTGATATTCCACACCCTTTTATCGGGAGATAACGCTAAGGAAACCCCACCAACCAATGTCAACAAAGATGTCAACTCAAGAGACTCCCTATCAATTAGATTCCGAAGGAAGTTGAAATTCCAAGATATTGGTGCCGCATGAGAACATGCCACCGACTCAATTGAAACATTTCGAGCTTGAACCAGTCGATATAAAAGTGGAAAAGCTTTGTCAAAAGATGTATCCCCTACCTAAACATCCTCCCAAAAACGTATACTGGCCCCATTACCCACTTTCATAGAGAAAAACCGAGACACAATTGGAAACAACCGAGAGATAGACTTCCAAGGAGAACGACAACTACCTCTACTAACCACAATAGAATCTCTACCATTAGCCTGAATTCCATACTTGCTTTTAATAATAGAACACCATAAGGACTCGCTTTCCTCGGAAAATCTCCACAACCATTTGCTCAAGAGGGCAATGTTTCTAGCAACCATGTTCCCAATAGCAAGACCCCCTTTATGACGAGGAAGAGAAACAACCTCCCATCTAACTAAATGATCCCTCTTACCCTCATCAAACCCTTCCCAAAGAAAATCTCTCAAAAGTTTCTCATTTTGCCTTGCAAAACGGACCGGTATCTTGAAAAGCTTTTCCTCTTCAAAATAGACTAGTAACATTCAAATTTAAACTATGAATCATCTGCAAAATTGGGAGAAAAATATGCTTTGATTGTGCTTCTTTTTTTACTCGAGTATACCTCTGCTTTTGTATAATTTAATGGAAAAGGACAATATTAATTAGATTTAAGTTTTATCTGAGAAAGGTCATCATGAGAATAAAACCAGCAATGTAGGCTATAGAAAACACTACAACGACCGCTCCTTATACATTGTCCACTTTCAGGCTTTGTTTGGAAACAATATGTTGGCATAAACTATCAGTTCCTGTAAGTAACATGGCAACACTTAAAAGTTGGTTTTGGATGTGTAGATCTGTTAATCCCTGAAATTGGTAATGAATATGCACCACGCATGCACACCCACAGAGAAACACAACACAAATTATGCCTCTCCTACAAAAAGAAGACTCAAATCATATCACCATATATTACTTCAACAATGTACAAAATCTAACAATCATGATAAACAAATTCTAAAAGGATAAACAAGTGAACAAATCCAAATGACACAATCCGATAACTTTCTGAAAGTACACAAGCTTCACAATCTTAACATAAGAGACATAGAACAACTCACAAGATCACGACGATCCCGATCGCTATTAAAAAATTGTAGCCACCTGGAACTTAGATGGTATTTTGTTGATCCACCCTGATTTTATGCATTAACATGGAAAAGAAAATTCAGTTCACACAGGAGAAACAAGAAGAAAGATGCTGGAAAATATAGTTTCCATAGCACAACAATTACATCAAGTTATAATATCAATTTTCAAATTGTGAAGGGTTGGTGCCAATGAAACATACACCCGACGTAAGAAAAGATATAAAAAGACAATAATTCTGCTATCAGTTAGAAATATTCATTGATACAAATGCAGCTTCTTCACAGAAATCCTTAGAAGCATTGAATCAATGTACCCACCATTTAAGAAAAACAAGAATCAAACCTAACACAAATGTTATTCACCTGTTTAAATGATATAAAAATAGGTACACTATGCACAAGCATCTTCAATTATTTAAATTTTAATGCTCTCCTTTAAAGATGAGAAGTATAAATCTGGCATATGCACTCTCCTTGATATCCCACTATGAAGACTTTGTGCACGGGAAAAGTAAGAATGTGGAAAAACATTTATTATAGACAATTTTAAATAACCTATCCAAAAAAAATTCAATCGTGGGCTGGAGTGCTTCACTTGCTGAACCTCAGGGATGCAGATGTCTCATTCAAGCATAGTTATCACTTATTATCATGCAAGTTTACTTCCAAAACATGGTGTAAAACTTAGTTGCCTGGATAATTACATACATTATACAATATATTCAAGCATTATGGCCTTACTTGTCCAAGGAGTGAAGCAATGCAAGCACCAGTGTGAACAAGAGGACCTTCTTTCCCAAGAGCCAAACCACCTCCTACCGAACCGATGCTTCCAAATATCTTCAAAATACAAAGAACGTGATAAATGTGAAACATTTATATGCATAAATCCCCAATAGTGCAACAGAAAGCCAAGAAAAGGCATCAGACCTTTCCAATCAAGGTTCTGAAAAGAAGGATACCATGGGTATCAACTCCTGCATGTTTAAATGAATATCAGCAACCTCTTACAATATGCAACTCTTTTAATGGAAGATTGAAAACTTACTAGAAAAGGCCAGAAAAGTACAACTTACCATTCAAATAACCCTTAATTTCAGGAATACCAGATCCTGCTGCTGCTGGTGCGAATTGCGTGATTATAAATACAGAAGAGAAGACTAAAACCAAGTTGATCAATACATATACCACAAATCCAGCAATGTATGACTTTTGAATTATAGCAAAAGTCAATGAATACTTCCATCCAGCAAAGTTTTCAACAGAAATGTTAATGAAGACAGCAGCTAATCCAGTGCCTGAAAACAACCCAAAGAACTCATATATTTGAGCGAAAGGGGAAGTAAAACCAAAGCTGTGAACAATGAAAATCCAACTAAACAGTAAGTCTCTGATCCACCACAATAAGGAGAAAAAATGATTCTGTAGCTAATCAATATTCTCTCTCTACGTGGATAAGAATATGAAAATTAACAACTAAATCACCATTCAACGCTGATCTTTGAAGCAAAAAGCTCCACAGAAGTAAAATGAATTCACCACCAGACATATTAAAACATGGAAAATATGTCGTCAATCATACAAAAGTTAAGTCTTCTTCAAAACTAATCTATACTGTCAATCAAAAGAAAATGTTAAAACATGTTCACCAGTAGTATACTTACTTTAAAGTGAAGAGTTTACTATCCTTTCTAGATATTTATGGAGAGCTATTCGTGCTTGTACCATATGATTCACCATAACAACATTTGTCTTTTAGTTTTCCTGTCTAAATTTTATTGGTTCATTATCATACATTTTTCCAAAATATTGGCAATTCATAGGACTAAGATGATAATATTTTCACTTCCATAAGTTGCTTCCACATTGATTAGATTTTTTTTACCCGGTCATTATTGGAGAGAGAAGTTGTCCTGTGACGGCACAACAGGTCACCTTGGTCCCACACAAACCCCATAGATCTACAAATACACAATTTAACACATTCACAACACACAGTTTTATAAGCAACATATTCACAACATGGCATTAGCAAATGCAAATACTGCATGGACTCTTCCCTTGATTGTACTTTTAAGAACACTTCAAGCTGTTGAAAGAAAGCTTAAAAGTATGCCACATAAGGCATTTTACAAACAACTGGAAAGCTGGAACAATAAAAAATTTTACATTCCTGCACTTACAAAAAATTATAAATGAATAACTGTTACGTAAATGTAAAGTTCTAGCTTTCCAAATGTTTCCGGCTTACTCATTTGATTTCATCAAATTAAATCAAAATGAATAACTGTTACGTAAATGGAAAAGTTCTAGCTTTCCAAATGTTTCCAACTTACTCCTTGGATACACCAAGACATATTCAGCATATTTTAAAGATTCATATATTTCTAATGCAACATTAGAATACAATTAATAGGAAAAACATAACAAAATTATCAAAAACTTGGATTACTACTTAGGGGGAAGAAGGATTGGGATACAATGAGATAAGTCAAGTCAAATTTGGTATCTAATTGATACCCACACAACACATTTTTATGAAAAAAGACTAATAAAAAACTAAAAAATATATATATTTTGTAAAGTACATATATTATCACAAAATTACTTGATAATTTGCATATGTATGTTTTTGTGTTTATAAATAACCCTATCATGATGTATCCATGCCCTTTTTTTTAGAATTTTTCATGTGAAAAAGTCCATATAGTCATATATTTGCATCTTGTAGTTGTATCCATGCTTTTCCTTTCTATTCAGCTTTAAGCCTAGTCCAATACCTACCAACAAGTGTATAACATAAGCACAACATCATGTAACTTTTTGATATAGGTCGAAAAGTACCACATTGAGGCCACTGAAGTTACATTTTTAGTCTTTCAATATTGTTTATTTAATAGAGATGATGTGTTTTGTGCATTTGTACAGATTTGGCAAGTAACACTCAAATTCAATCAAAAAGTGAGCAAAAACATAGTCTCCGAGCGAAAAATGAAAAATCTAAGCCAGCCAAACCACCGCATGTGTGGCCCACCACCGCTTGAGCGGCCCAAATGGGCACTCGGGCAGCCCACCTAGGGACATGTGCGTGAAATTTTCAGTCTATTTTGCTGAGAATAAAATGAAGAAAATTAGACAAACTTAGGGTTCGTATTTTATTTGACCAAAAATGGAGGCTAGGGTGAGAGAAAGGGTGATTTTCCTCAAGCTTGCTATTCCATGGACGGTGCTTCTCCCTCTACCTCTTCCCACTCCTCCATGAGTGGCTAAGCTCATCTTTTCTAGGGTTTTGATGAAACTCCAGCCATGTAATTAGGTTTTCTTTTTTATTTTTAATTATGTAAAGGTTTGAACAATTGTATGGTGTTTAGAAGTTTCATATATATATTTTCCATTAATTCTTCAAGTATTCGACTTTCTGTGATTGTTGAATATTTTCCATACAATAGTTTTCTATTCTTTCACATTCAAGGTATGAAACAAACCATACTACGAAGGACGAGTCGTGTCGCTAGTCTAGAGTGAACGATTCGTACTACTTGAGATGGTTCGTACCCGTATATTGAACGTGATGATTTTCTTGTTAAATGCTTTGAACTTGTACTTACGAAGCATTATTCCGTTCGAACCGTAGCATAATTGATTTCAATTTGAAACGCTATTTACACAACTAGTGGTGAACTCATTACCCTAGGTTTTTTCCCAAATCAATAAATTCATCTTTAGTTATAATTGCTAGTTTATTTGCTTTGTTTAATTTAATTATTATTAGTTTATAATCCATCAATCCTTTTATCAAAATTAATTTAAGAATTTAGCATTTAAATTAGTTTAATTTCACAATTGTCCATGTAGATCAATAGTTGGACTTGCCATTATTCTGAAAGAATTTGGTATAGTTAAGTGTTTATTTTTGGTGTGTGTAACGACCCATCACTTTTTCCCCAACTAAAAATGACACAAATTTCTTCAATTTAATTTTAAAAGAAAACGTGCACAGAAACATAAACCTGCCTTTTACCAGTTTAAGTGCATTCCAGTAGGTAACTATCAAGGATTTTTTCACTCAGAAATATACTTTAGTTCTCAATCAACACTGGCATCACCAAAACTACTCTTTCTCAGTTTAAATTACAGTTAAATTCTCAATCTAGGTACGTTATTAGCAAACCTCTTCCCCAGGCACAATGCATTCCATAACAATTTGGAGTTGAAGGGTAACAAGAAAATAGGGTGCACGTTTGGTCGCATTTCATGTTTATACCTACAACAAGCATATTTTCTCTGGCTTTTAAGGCTTTTACAAATTTTCTTTTTCAGTATATGTCTTGAGGCTTGTTTTACTTCCAAGATCAGAAAATATACTCACAAAAAATGTATCCAAACAGATCATAAATCTAAGCTACCGATCACATTTCACCATAAACCAAATTGAATTCTAGACAAAGAGAAATGGCAAATTATAGGCCAAAGAGATAATAGTCTACTAACCTATGCCAATGAGCAACGCAAAGAACCATTTCACTACGACATAATATCCAACATATAGCTTTCCTCTCTGTGCCTGTAGATCTCAAATAGCAAATCAAACAAAATTAGCAGATAATAGAAGTATTCTACATTCGCAGACAAACATATTACATATATCCACACTATCTATACTACATAACTCAGAACTTGAAACTTCGTCATGGGATTTTGCTTTTAAAGAATGCCTTATCAATGTCTAAAACTCCAAGAACTAACACTCTGTTTGGATATTTAGGCGAGAAAAAAGCAAAGAAACAATTTGTTAAAGTTAGAAGAGAGAAGACAAGAAAAGAAATTAGTGTGATTTCTCTCCCTCTTGTTTGGTTAAGTTGGAAAGAACGGAAAATAAAAGTTAGTGATTTCTCTCCAATCTTGGTTGGATAGACTACATAAAAAGAAAAGAAAATAAACTCGAGCAACTCCAATGCTACTCTTTATTTTTCACTAGCTAAAGTACAAAAAAGGAATGCTCTTTATTTTACCTGACTACTTTTTTATCTATGTGTTCCAACTTTACTCTTTATTTTACATATTTACCACACAAACTGTTTAAAGAGCCTCCTATGGGTCTCCAAATGTAACTAGCTTGGAAATTTTTTTTTTAAAATGGCTAGTTTGGTAGCTAGCCCGTTGGAGGAAGTAAAATAAGACGAGACTAGCTATAATAGCCAACAAACCTCTTCTAAAGAGCCCATTGGAGATGCTTTCTATTACCAAAATAATCTTTTATGTTTTTACTTCTTTTGTAGGTAGATGGACAATTTTTCTAATATAAAAAATTAGCAATCTCCCCATTTCTTTCCACTCCCAATCCCTCCAAATCAAAAAGTAAGTTATGAGATGAATAAATTTCTCTCTATTTCTTTATATTTCTCCTCATTTCTCTCCTGTTTAGTAATCCAAACAAGTGATTAGAACAAAGAGAAATTTATTTCTTTTCTTTTCTTTTCTTTTATTTTCTCTCCAAATCACTCGATCCAAACGAGGTGTAACTGCTAAACAGTTTTCAAATTTCCTAATTCATAAAATCGCCAAAAAAACTTTAATCTACAATTACAAATGCATCACGCTTGCACACATCGCAAGTATATATATATAAAAAGCTAAATTGAAATTGATAGTAGAATTGGGGACCTGTTCTTCCCTGTAGGCATGATTTTCAATAACTTCATAGTCGAGACTCTCGACGCTGCTTCCATCAATCTTCTTCGAGACTCCAACCTCGTCTACCTCACCATCCTCCGAATTCGGCAACCGAGACCACGCGAGCTTTGCCCTCTCCATGCCGTTCAACATGATGATTCCTCACTAAACCTATATATACATATATATATACATATACATATAATCTTCAAGCTCTAAATCAAATCATCAAATCCTAAAACCCTAAGGTCCGCAGAGATCGAATATGGGTATATCAGTAAATTGGAATAAGAGAGAGAAATTGAATTGGGAAGAAGAGAGAGAAGAGGTAGATTCGTGTTTGTTTGTTTGTTTGTGTCCCTGTGTTTATCTCTCTTCTTCTTCTTCTTCTTCTTCTTCTGTTTTTAGGGAGTGTATTTCACCCTGACTTCCATTTGCGGTCTCCGGGAATGAAGTTGCAGAGAAGATGCACGCACGATAGAGTTTTTATCATCTACATCTGCGATGTATGTGTGATTGTTGTTGTTGCCGTTGTTTTTTTCTTTTTCTTTTTTTTTCTTTTTTTGTGTTTTTTTTCGTTGGTGTCCGGGCAAGCTCAACACATATCTGGACTAATCTCCGCTCACGATAGAAGCCTACTATCAGTCACAAGGTGTTGCAGTTGTCGGAACTCAAATTAGGGAGCAATCCTAGTCGAATTTCGTAGCTTTACTCAACGGTGAATAAGTCACTTAATCACAAACTCGTTGTTGGATGGTTAGATCTGGTACTTATTAATGGGGTCTAAGAATGTACATAAATGACATGTTTGATTGGATGAATTAGCACATAGAATTGGGATTATTAATTTGGTGGACTTAATTATCTATATTTGTTTTAATATTTTAGTTTAGGATTATTAATCTAATGGATAATTAATCCAACAAATTTGTAGGATTATTAGTAATGGAATACGGGTGGAATTATTAATCCAATATAGATAATTTATTCACTTGAATAGTGAATACCACACTAATTTGATAAGATTATTAATATTTCACTATTAGTCATGTGAATCAAATATGACCAAAGAGTATTTAGGCCTATTTTGGTAATTATGAAAAAAGTCAATTTATTGAATTAGATTTATTTGAGTCACATTTATCTCTTTAATTTTTTTGTACATTTGTTTTTAAAAAACTTAAAAATTTAAAAATAATTTCATCAAATATTAATCAAATTTATCAAACTAAGAATTCATTAAAAAAATTATCAAATTTAAATTAGATGAAAATTTAAAAAGATGAAATATTGAAAAAAAAATGTAATTAAATTTGATGGGGGAATGGAATAAGAGAGAAGTTTTTTAAAAGATTTTGATAAAAAAAAATTAATAGAAATATTGGAATAGTTTAAATCAAATTAAGTTTTATACTTAAATTTATAATTAAATTAGATATAAAAAAAATTGGTGAAGAATCGGAAAAAGTTATTTTCCTACAACTAATTTTTTTATTTTTTATTTTTTTATTTTTTTGGGCCAAGATTATAGAATGTTAATTTGTTAATAAATTTATATTACAATTAAAAGAGTCATTACTACTTTATCAGTTCAAACCATTCCTCCTATCTCATCCTAATATGTGGCTCAAAATGGACATTTTGATTCAATTTATGAATTAAATCATAGTTTAAGTTCAAGGGGTTTTATATATGAGATCAACGCATGCTCGAGGTATATATACTTAGGTTCGCTTTTTTATAAGTATATTTCTCTGTTTGTCTAATATCTTTAAAGATTTTTAATATTGTTATTATAAGTTCCTTGAGAAGGACACCCACCATTAAATTCTTAAGATTTATAAAATCACTTTAAAAAACTCAAATTCAATATGTCCATTTGACTCTAATCATAAATCCACTGATTGTCAAATATTTATTTTTTTAATCTCACTTCAATTTTAACTAGACAAATTTATAAGTATTATAAAAATTTAATCTACACAAAGTTAAATGAATAAATTTAAACATATTTCAAATTAAATATGCTAACATGAGGTTGAATGTATGTGAATTTTTTGTGGCAAAGAGGAATATAGGGCGGTGTGCTTACCACTCTCCCCCAATGGAATGTGGGAGAATAGTGGAAATGTGGAAATGTTGGTGGCTTGATGGCCAATAAACGTGTGACACGTATTTACGAACTTCAAAATATTTGGACATGTGTAAGACACTAAAAATGCTTAAATTTGAACCGACTCTTGCGGGTCATTCAGATCTTCTCAAGTTTAATACTAATATTTTATAAAGTAAGCTATTTATATTAATTTATATGTTTAGAACAATTGTCAAGTTGAAAAATCATTATTCACCCAAAAAAAAAAAAAAAAAAAGGTTGAAAAATCAAAGTCGGCTTAGTCTTCTTCACCTTGCATAAGCAACCTTCTTTTTTTAAATAATATTTGCACAATATTTATAAGAAAATCCTATTCTTATATAAATTTTATACAAAAAAATTGGCAAAAATAATGTGATAATATCATTATTATAAATAAATTCATCTTCAATAATATTTTATTGTAAAGTAAAAAATTCATAAAAAATCACATCATTATATATAAATATTTTATTTAGATAATATTATTCATTTTAAACATCTCATATTCTCCCTTCTTCTTTTCTTTTGTTTTTTTTTTTCCCTCAAATAACACAGTATTACTTCCGATGCTAAATTATTGACAAAAATTAAGTGACTACTTTTTTCTGCAATATGCTATTTTAGCATTGTTACCCTAAAATGTGATGCCACTACAACTCAATAAGGTCAAACTTTCTCCATTCCCCTCAACCAGCCAAACCTCGTGGTTGCCACCTCCCCCACTCAAACAATCACCCCCATCACAATCACCACCACCTCTTGCTCCTTTTCCATTCCCATCACCTGACACACGGCTACACGTGCACCACTGTTGCCAATATACCTCATCCGCCACCACCATCACTAGATAATTCGGATCTGCTCTCTCGCAAGTCTCTGTACATTTTGGAAGCAGAGCATGCAGCAAAATCGAGTAATAGATTTTAGAAAAAGAGAATTTTTTGTGCCTTGAATTGAACTATCTCGAATGGCTCAAATTTGTGTTCACCGATCGACCGGATAAACCACTTGTCTATCACGATTAACACATTATTGACCGCAACTATCAGCCATTTTGACAGACGATCGGCCAAATGATCGGCAAAATAAAATTCGAGTCAAACTTAAATTCGAGATACACAGTACTGCTCTTAGAAAAATTCCAATTTGATTAGACCATTCTATCACACTAACAAAATGTTACTGTTGGCCACTGTTGATTTTTTTTTTTTGGGTACTTGGGAAATGTACCACTGTTTCCCACTGTTGATAATTGACAGATCAATAAATAAGAATTCTGTTAAGGCGATGAATGAGGTCCATAACACCTAAGTTGTGTTAGGCATTGTCACATTGCACATGGCACTGACAGCAAATCTAAGCAATAAGTGTACAAAGAATAGTCAGTGAAATTTCACTTTTATTTTTGAACTACAAGAGACAAAATGTTTCAATGAATTGATTAATTATTTCTCATCACAGTTTTTCTCTTTTTTTTCCGTTCCTGGCAAGAAAAAGGGAAGAATCAAACAAAGTAATATGCCGAGTTGGGCTCCATTTCTTTCACTATCATTTTCCGAATCTTCTTTGGGCCGGAAGCTACTTGAATCGACAAACGAAAATGCACAAATTTAGGTCTCTATTCTCTGTCTTTCCTTCCTATTTCACATTTTTGAGAGAGAGGGTTCAGACGTTGAAAGCTCTGCATACATGTTAGCTATAGCTTTTGCAAAGTATGCTTTAGCTTGAGGTCTCTTGATCTGGAAGAAAAGTAAACCACATAAAGGAAGTCTGTCATTTTCCATTTGCCCACCAATGCTTAAAATGCTAACTACTCTTGTTCAGTTTCGTTTTTAGAATTTGATTTCTGTTTTTTTTTTTTTTTTTTTTGGTGAAAAATTAGAACCTAGTTTGATGAAAATAAACACTAAATGAGTTTCTAGTCATTCTTATTTGTTAAAAAACTTCAGACAAAAAATTCTAAAAACAAAACCAAGTAGAGTATTTTCAACTTGCCTTGAATGTTGGCGTAAGCAGACCATTCTCCATGGTGAACTGTTCAAGCACCAAAGTCACAGATTTTGCAAATTCAAAACCTCTCAGCTGCAGCACATAACACATGTCTTATGTTCAAAAAAAATTCATATGTATATTTAGATTAATGAAATGAAGCGGAACAAAATTAGTAGACCAGGGATGAACTAAATTTGAGCAGAGATAGAATACCTGAGCTTCCCTTCCAACAGCTTCCATGTCGGCCAAAACAGCGGCCCTTGCTCTTGGGTCGTTGCACAGTTCTCCTAAATCTTTGTACTGAACGCATTGACACCAAACCATATCACGACTAGTAGTATGACTTTGGCAACTCAAAATTTTAGCCAAAAAACAACTATAAGTTGTCACAACACTCTCTTTTGTTTTTTGCACAACTTTTTGTAAAAAACAAAAAAGTTACTAAAATAGCCTATTCCCAAACCAAGCCTAAGATGGATGCACAAGTAGGATGTGCAATGCACGCGACAATATACTTTTTTTTGTACATTGAAGGTGGAGGGGTAATCAAACCGTGACCTCCTAGTGAAGTAGGTACACTGGCTCTGACCAGAGGGCTCACCACAGTGGTTAAAGATATTTATTATTCCACATCATAATAACATGGGTGATTTTACTTTGCACAACAAATTTCTCATTACACAACCTCCCCAATAACATGTTCATAAGGTTACATATTAAAACTAAAAAATAAAACTTCTAGAAGGCAATTTGGATCCTTACATTATGCATCACCCTCATCTTTTTTAGAGGAGCTTGCTTGGTTTCATTCTAGAATTCATTTTCTAAATTTTTTTTGAAAAAAAAAAAAAAAAAAAACTGGCTTGACGAAAATAAACACCAAAATAATATTTTTAAATTTTGAAAAATTATTTCTACCCCCAAAAGAGAAAAACCATATAACAATGATGAGTTTTAATTTATATATTAAAATAAAAATAAAAATCCACCAAACTAGTTTTTAGTTTTTTTTTAATTTTTGAAACCAAATAAATTTCTTGTTTGTTGGACTGAAGTACCAAACCAATAAATTACCTTGATGTCTTCACTTGCAGCCCAAGCATTCAACACATCTGGGTCCACTGAGACAACAGCAACTAAGGAAGAGTTGAGGCTGTCCCCTACCCAAAAAAAATACAGAAATGTCACACACACAGAGAGAGAGAGACAGAGAGAGAATTGTGAAACCATATTGTCTTACCGTAAACAAAGCACTGCGCAACAAACTTGCATTTAGCATACACATTCTCAATTTTCTCTGGTGCTATGTACTCTCCCTGTGCCAACTTAAATATGTTCTTCTTCCTGTCATAATACGACAATATTTTTTACCAACAATCCTACAACAAATATGCAACCTTCCAAATAATACAGTTAAATATTCAATTGCAATCTATCATGAACATGAGGGGGATCTTCTAATATTTTCCATATTTGATCTCACCAGAATTTCCTCTCTGACCACCTTATCACAAAGACAGGAGCGATATGCAATAAAATAAATACTGTGGAAATCCCTACACATACAGATCAGAACCATCCCAGGTGTTGTAGCAAAGACCAACGGTAATCTTTATTCTGCTTTTTCACAGAAGTTTGAAAACAGTAATAAATATCATACACCCACTCATGGAATAAGTCTGGCCACACATTGACAGGCATGTTAAGTATATGAGTACTTACATTACACCCTTAAGCTGTGTTTAGATCATGGATTTGGGTAGAGATTTGGAAAGGGAAAGGAAAAAAATAGGTGAAATGTAGGTTGCGCTTGGATCACGGATTTGGATAGAGATTTGAAAAGGGAAAAAGAAAACTCTACCCAAATCCATGATCCAAACATAGCCTTAAGCTGATTGAGAAGTTGCCTGTCAACAAGGAACATCATATTTAAGTTTCTTGTGATATGGATATGTAAAGGTTATCCACTTCCACCACTGGCGTGAATTCGAATCACGGGAATCAGCCTCTCCACTGAAAGACAAGGGGGGAGGCCAGCCTACTACCCCTTATGTGCTGTTACAGCATTTTAAGCAGGACCATATCAAGTATCTTTTTGTTTTCTAGGGATTGGTTGTCAGCTTGTGATGTTTAGATTTTTATTTTCTTTTGTACTGAGATGTACTCTTTCTCTGGAGGACTGCTTGTCCTCTTTTCTTTTGTACTTTTTTTCAATGATATTCTTTCTTGCTGATCAAAAAAAGAAAAGAAAAACAGAAGTGTCTTGTCACCTATCAATTATCTTTAGGCGACCTCCAGATGACATTAAGCCTATGTCTCCTGTATGAAGCCATCCATCTTCATCAATTACTTCTCTCCTGTAAAATTTGATTAGAGCATATCAGCAGTGCTCAACATCAATAAAATAGATGACATTTTTTGAATAAAACAGAAAGAGTGAATTAAAAGAAAGATGAAAAAGAAAAGAATAATAATAAAAATACAAAATAACTAGTAAGACAGAAAGCTACACACGTCTGCACTTCATCTTTGTGGTAGCCTAGGAATACCAGGGGGCCCCTCACACAGATTTCACCCCTTGGATAGGGCTTATCATCAGATGTATAGTTCATTTCTGGAACATCCATGAGCTTTACTTCTGAAAAATAAATAAAAGAAAAATATATGCTTAGCCCAACGTCAGTAATACAATATAAATTACAAACTGATTATAGTTGAATCGGAAAACCCATGGACAGCAATTTAAATGGTCAAAGCAAGCAGGGCCTTTGATCAAAAGAAAAAATAACAGTCATCACCATCACGCATTCTTACAGACTCTAGAACATATGTTCATAAGAAATAAATATGTCCTACTCAACATATGATGATTACCCCTTGGAAACAAATCCATATGGAAGAAGAAAAGGAAAACAGATGATTTATTGGAGCATATTTGAAAATTTATTAAGCTATTATCTTTTGGTTGGTTGAGATGGTGATGTATGAAAAAAGAAAAAAATAATAATAAAAGAGAAAAGAAGAAGAAGGGTATCCTATGCTGACTGAATTTGAAAATGGTTAATCACATCTATTTAATGTGATGCTTAAAAGAAACAATACAACTATAAAATTGTTCAATCAAATGTGTAATAAATTTTTCTCACAACTTATGTCAATAACTCACCACAAGCAGGATTAGGAGAGCCTACATGACCAGATAGATTGTCACCCTCATCCATAGCGCTTATAACACAAGCAGTTTCAGTCATTCCATATCCTTCCACAACTTGGCAACCAAAACATCTGTGACGTTAAACTTTTATGTGTTATCAAGTAAAAGAAAAAACTAAAACACACACACAATATATAGATACTAAAGGCAGTCATTCAGGCCAAGGAAAACAATTAACTTACACTCTCAAGAAATCCATTACATCAGGAGACAAGGGTGAGGCGCCTGATGCCATAAAACGAACCCGTCCTCCAAGCTTTGCCTTGATTTTGTTAAATACCAATCTGTCCCACATTGGAGATGGATTCTTACCTGAAATAGTAACACAAAAAAGAACCTTAAAATATCAGAACAGCATTCAAAGGACTGAAGGAGACTAGTTACGTATTTCCTAATGATCATGGTATGGAATGGGTGTGAAACACAGATGGACACAAGCAACTTGTCAACAAGGAAAATACTATTCATCTATAAAAATCATACCCAAAAAAATCACAAGAATGATGTGACAATGCCATTTTGGTAAATATATATCATCTTACGGTGTTTTGTTTTAAAGTGAGTGGTATTAAGCCACACCATTATGTATAGAAATTATGTATGAATTTTTTGTTTGTATATCAACAAAGTATTAGACAAGTCAACGGGAGCTGTTGAGTGGGAGGCATGTGGAGTGAGTTTTCCAGCCAGCTTTAGGGGTGGCTGGTGGTGTTCTCACTCATTGGGATAGTAGGGTGGTGGTGAAGGAGGGGGAAGAAATAGGGGGTTTCTCTGTGTCTTGTTTGTTTCGGTGCATTGAAGATGATTTTCGATGGGTGTTCACAAGAGTCTATGGTCCAGTTCAAGGTCTAGAAAGGTGGGCTTTTGGGGAGGAGTTATAGGATGTTGCTTTTCATTCGGGGGTGCCTTGGTGTGTTGGGGGGGATTTCAATGTTGTGAGAGCGTTGTGAGAAGCCCAGAGGAAATGTCGGGGAGGAGGGGGAGGGGGTGCAAATGGTGAGGGCTATGAGGGAATTTGCCTCTTTCATTGATGAGTTGAAGCTGGTTGATTTGCCCCTACAGGGGGAGGCTATACCTGGTCTAGTGACTAAGCGCGTTCTCGGATTGATAGATTCCTTGATTCTGGATATTGGGAAGAGCACTTCTCTCAGATGATTCAGATGAGTTTGCCGTGCCCGATCTCCGATCATTGGCCAATCTTGTTGGATAGCGGGGAATTCAGTGTGATCCTTCGCCTTTTCGTTTTGAGAACATGTGATTACAAGTGGAGGGTTTTGTTGAGAAAGTGGGTGGTTGTTGGGAGAGTTATAGTGCGGTAGGGACGCCAAGTTGTAGATTAGCTCAGAAACTAAAGCTTCTTAAATCTGATATAAAGAACTGGAATGTAGAGGTTTTTGGTCGTCTAGAGGCTCATAAGGTAAATATTGTTTCAATGATGCAGGGGTTGGATAAGAAGGAAGGTGCGAGGGGTCTAACGGAGATCGGGTTTTCCCGACCTCGAAAATTCTCCGACCAAAATAAAAAAAAAAACAAAATATATATTCAACAACAGCAGATCTGAGTATATACCAGGTTTTAACAATATCATCATCGAATGTAAAAACAACACACCCATACAGATCTAAGCATATACCAGATCTGAGCCTATCAACTTCATCATCATTATCATCAACAACACACTGATGATGGAGGGACGACGGCGATCGGTGGCGATGGAGAGGAGCGACAGAACTCTGACAATGGAGGGACGATAGAACTCGGATGATCGCGGTGATGGAGAGAAGAGAGAGAGAGAGAGATATCGAAAACCCTAACAGCTCTCTCTCGCCAAAGACAGGACAAAGGAGGAGGAGGAGGGAGATCGGTGGTGATGGGAGGAGGGAGATTGCTGCCGAAGCCGTGAGGAGCAGCTGCGCAAAGAGAGAGAGGGGGAGAGAGATTGAGAGAAATGAATGTGAGTGAGAGAGAGGCAGACTCAAACATATATATATATATATATGGGGATTATTCGGGGAAAATTCGGGGCAGGGTGATCATTTGTCCCCGGCCCCGGCCCGAATACCATCGGGAATTCAATTTTCAATATCATCCCCGTCCTTATGGGAGGTAATTTTCGGGAAAAACCCATTCTAATCGGGTCGGGAGATCAGGTCCCCGTTTGGCCGATTTTAGATTGCCATCCCTAGATGTGGCTTGTAGGGATGCGGCTCGAAAAGAATATGTTAGGATAGCTCGGATGGAGGAGATAAGCTTTTGTTAGAAATCTAGATGTTTATAGTTGAAAGATGGGGATCGTAATACAAAATTCTTTCATCAAACGGCAAATGCTCATATAGGCAGGTGAATCAGATCAGGAGGGTACAGATGAATGAGGTGTTGTTATCGAACGAAGCAGAGATCAAGGAAGGTATAGTGGGGTTCTATCAGCATCTTTTTCATGATGAGGGAGATGTGTGAAGGTCAGGGTTGAACGGTGTTGTTTTTGATTCTGTCTCCGAAACAGAGGTTTTGTCACTAGATAAACCGTTTTCTGAGGAAGAGGTCTTGGGTGCGCTAAGAAGTATGGCAAGGGATAAGGCAATGGGACCGGATGGTTTTTCTATTGGTTTTTTTCAGCACTGTTGAGGGGTGGTGAAAGAGGAGGTGTTGGCAATATTTGAGCAGTTTCATCAGACGAGGCAATGTGAGAGACTATGAAGCACGGGTGCGGGTACGAGTACGGTACGGGTACGAGTACGGGTACGCCGATACGGCAAAACCCCAAAAAAGTAGGGTACGGGTACGGCTGCGGTACGCCGATTTTTTTTTATTTTTTATAATTATGGTTAAAAGATCCAACCTACAAATTGAAGTTAAATAAAAAAATAACTAATAATAATATTAATAACTAATATTAATAACCTACAAACCTGCATTTTCATCTCTAATTTTTTATTATTAATAACTAATAATAATATTTATGATTATTACGAGAGAAGTCTGAATTCAACTTTCATAGCTTTGATTCCTAAGAAGGAAGTGGTGGAGGATATTCGCGACTTTCGGCCTATTAGTCTTTTGGGAAGTGTCCATATTCTGGCCAATAGACTTCGAGGTGTGCTGGAGGGGGTGGTGTCAGAGTCACAGAATGCTTTTGTTGGCGGTCATCACATTTTGGATGTTGTTCTTGTAGCTAATGAGTGTGTGGATTCGCGGTTGCATCAGGGTAAGGACGGGGTAATTTGTAAGCTGGATATCAAGAAGACATATGACAACGTCAATTGGACGTTTTTGTTATGTGTTGGAGAGGATGGGTTTTGGGGAGCGGTAGAAGAGTTGGATTCATTTTTGTATTTCGACTGTTCGAATGTCGGTGTTGGTTAATGGGACGCCGGCGGGTTTTTTCCCCCAGATGAAGAGGTTTACGACAGGGTGATCATTTGTCCCCTTTTTTGTTCATACTCGTTATGGAAGCGCTAAGTCGTTTACTGTCCAAGGCAGTTCAAGGGGGTTTGCTGTCGAGTTTTGCAGTGGGGAAGGGGCTTGATTCTCTGGAGATTTCTCATCTCTTTTATGCTGATGATGCGCTAATTTTTTGTGATGCAGATGCTATTCAGATTGGTCATTTGCGGTGTGTGTTGTTATGCTTTGAGGCGGTGTCTGGCCTTCAGGTAAATTTGGCTAAATCGAAATTGATCCCAGTAGAAGAAGTGGCACGTCTTTCGATGTTGGCGGCTGTTTTGGATTGTAAGGTGGCTATGTTACCATTGTCTTATCTGGGTCTTCCTTTGGGACTACTTTTAAGGAAACAAGAGTGTGGGATATAGTGGTGGATAGAGTGCATAGACAGTTGGCGGGATGGAAGTGGCAATATTTGTCCAAAGGGGGGTGGCTTACTTTGATCAAGAGTGTTCTTTCTAATATCCCAGCATATTTTGGCCCCGTTTGGTAGAGCTGTGGGAAAGTGATTATAACTTATAGCCTAACAGCTTATAACTTATAGCTGTGAACATAAGCTTATTTTTTATTTATAAATTAAGCTTCTCCTCCCCCACTTAAAGAATAAATTGATTTTTGACTTACAAAAAGCTATAAGTTCTATTGTTAAGCTGAACCAAACACATCAAAATAACTTAAATTAAGCTAAAAGCTGAAATAAGCTGGAAATAAGCCCTACCAAACAGGGCCTTTATGTCTTTACATGTCATGCCTGTGGCGGTGGCAAGGCGATTAGAGAAGCTTCAACGGGATTTTTTGTGGGATGGGGTGGGGAGGTTTTCCATTACTATTTGGTAGATTGGGAGAGGGTGTGCACTCCTAAGGAAGGGGAGTTTGGGGGTGAGGAGGCGGTTGGAGGTTGGAAGTGTTCAATCGGGCTCTTTTAGGGAAGTTGTGGCAGTTCATAGAGGAAAGGGAACGGTTATGGAGGAGGGTGGTGGTGGCTAAATATGGAGAGAGGGGGGGTTGGTGTTCGAAAAAGGTGGTCCAATCTCATGGGCGTGGCTTATGGAAGGGGATTTGGTTGGGGAGAAGGGATTTTTGGGGTAAGGTTCGGTTCAAAGTGGGGGTGGGGGATCGGGTTCAGTTCTGGCAAGACTGGTGGTGTGGTGAGCTCTCTTTGACAGGCATGTTTCCTTTGATTTATGCTATTGCAGCGGATGGGGATGAGTTGGTTGCATCGGTTAGGGTGAGGCAAGGGAATTCAGTTGTGTGGAATGTTTATCTTCGTCATGAAGTATAGGATTGGGAGTTGGCCCAGTTAGTGGATTTGCTGGGTTTCTTGTATTAGGACTGTTCAAAAATCCGTTCAAACCGGTAATCCGGACCGAACCAGACCGAATCATGCGGTTTGGTTCGGTTCTATTAAGAATTGGTTCGGTTTCGGATTAAGAAATATGAGAACCGTAAAAACGGTTCGGTTAATGGATTTTATAAAAAAAACCGTGGTTCGAACCGAACCGAACCGAATCAAATTTTAAAAGATATATATATATAATATCAAGTTTTATTTTTATTAATTGGTTTTTTATAATTTTAATGATATTATGATAGTATAGATATGTAGTATTAAGTAATGCCTTAATATTATTAGTTTTTATCATAAGTTAAATATAATTAGTTTGAGTAATTATTTTGCTAATATTAACAACTTATTCTTGTATATAGAAATTTTTGGAACCGTAAACCAAACCGAAACCGAACCATTTTTTCGGTTTGATTCTGGTTTGGTTTTACAAGTGTAACGGTCTGGTCTGGTCTGGTTCTCAAAATCACAGAACCGTTAGGATCGGTTCGGTTCTTGGATTTTCTCAGAACCGAACCAATCCAGACCGTGTACACCCCTATCTTGTATGAGCTGCAGTATGGGGGGGAGGGATGGATTCTTTGATTTGGGAGGTTCAGAAGTCTAAGGGTGTATTTACCGTGTCATCATTTTATGGGGTGCTTGTGGGGGGCAATACAGTTGTGCTTCCTTAGAAGACTATTTGGGTGACGGGTTCGCCTTCCAAGGTGACGTTTTTCGTTTGGACGGCTGCTTTGGGACGTATTCTTACTATTGATAATTTGATTTGGCGGCACCATATGCTTGTAAATTGGTGTTGTATGTGTTGTAGAAATGCAAAAACGGTGGATCATTTGTTGGTTCATTGCCCTGTTGTGTATCAGCTTTGGCGTTTGATTGTGGCTCTTTTTGGTGTGGTATGGGTGGAGCCGATGTCTTTGCGGGCCGTATTGTTCAGCTAGGGTGGGGCAAGGGTGGGTAAAAGGCGTCGGAAGGTTTCGTTACTTGCTGCCCATTGTTTGTTGTGGTTTGTATGGTTGGAGCGTAATCGTCCTATCTTTTAGAATTTAAGCCATTCTATTCTTTGGCTGGAAAATAAGCTTCTTATGGTGCTATATAGTTGGGTTACTGGTGTAGTAAATCCTGATGTTTTTACTTTTGTACAGTTTGTGGAGGATTTGATTAGTTAGTTTTGTGGTCTAGTGTGGTTTGGTATTTTCTTGTATTCTTTGCATCGCCTTGATGCTTTTTTAATAAAGTTTGATTATTTATCCCAAAAAAAAGTATTAGACAAGCCAAATATTGACGACAAAAAGTAATTGCAGCTTTAACGAATTGTAGCTTTATCCTTAATGGCATAACAAAATAAAAAATTAAAAAACAGTTCAACCGTCAAAATATAATCTGCACTTCCTACAAAATAGAATGTGCATGAGAATGGCAAGTGCCCATGTCCGCTAATGTTACCAATGTCTATTTAATTCTTCTCTAATTATCATTTTTGTGATTTGTATGATTTTACTAACAAAAGTTCAACATAATCTTGATGTTTACTGACACATGAATATCAAAATGTCACCTAATCAGACCACACAAGTTCTCACCTCTTCCTAATACAAATAATAAATGTGCTCCAAATTAACAATGCTATTTGAAATTGATTAAATTAAGGGCAAAGGATATTTTATTTGTGAAGTAAGAACATTATCAAGAATTTGGGAAACAAAAGAAACCTCAAAGACAAATTTAGTTGATAATAGGCTTACCAGACAATATAGATTGCTTCTTAGCATTATAGGCCACATTAAATAACCTCTCTTTCAGACCACCAGATGTCTTCACAGAATTCGTAATGCTGCAACAACCAAATCATCCAACCGATAATGACCATATATAAACGAAATTACATTAATACTTCAAACAGCATTGGAAAATGATTTTACCCAGCATATATTCTATTGTACAACCGAGGAACACTGCAGAATAAAGTGGGTCTTAAAGCTGCCATATCATCCATTAATTTCAAATTGTCCTGTGCATGGAGGTCAATAAACGGAATTAAGGCTAAGAAAATTATTCTCATAAATTGACACTTTATGCTAGTAGTATAATCCAGAATTCAGATAATTCAACCTCTTTGGCGTAAATATTAAACTGTGACAGTAGTACAACAAAAAATTTAAAAAACAAACAACTGTCAACTTGAAAAAATGTCTAATGAGTGATGAAAAAGCATTTTGGTATGCTTATAAAAATAGAAAAGATATTGTAGTTGAATGAATAATCATGGTATCAAACCAATATGCCAAATTATGTATCTTCGGGACAGAGTGATCAAGCATTAACCAAGACCTGAAACACTAGTATTGAAACATTAGTAAGAATAAGAATTTATGACTAGGAGACAAATCACAGAGGCTTCTATATGTGAAGGAGACTAAGTCAAAGGTGTGGAAAGCAGAGAAACATCTGTATGTAGTTCCTGTAGATTTAAACATATCCCATAATAAGGTCACTAAAAATATAATATGATGAATTACACGATGAAAGATACGTATGATATAGTGAGTTTTTTTACCTCCTTTGCTTTTTCTTCTACCTTCTTTGTAGTATATCCTCTAATCTTTCTTTAATATTTGTTTTCTTGCTTCTAACTCATTTTATTTCCCCACTGAATATCATGTTACCTCTTGTTCGGACCATTCTCTATTGTTCACCCTAGGACAATCCTAAGTTTCTCCAACCTTTAACTTTAATATTGCCTCGAGTTGTGGTGTTTCTTCTATTTTGCTTTCTGGTATCCAGAATTGAACTGTATTGTTATTTATAAATTAAATTATGAAATTGAAGGTTGGGTTTATTGCATCTCTAAATAAAAAACAGCATATTTCGTTTGCTTTATTGAATATTATTGATTGCCAAATGTTTGGGGATGACTGGTGATAGCACTGATTGTAAGGATTTTCACATATTTTGGTAATGGCTTTAAATAACGGTATCGGGGCTTTAAATAATCATGATGTTTACTGACACTCAGAAATTCAGCTCGATTGCAAAGCTTAAGCAAATCATGCTGCCAAATTTTCCACTTTTGGGTATGGACACACTCTCCTGGAACATATCATATGTCTCAAGCATATTTATATAGGCATTTCTTAGAGTAGAGCATGAATGCAAACAAATGAAATTTCTCAAGAAACTGGATTGAGAATGAATGCATGGTTGAGCATCATACTCCCTGGTAGAATCCAACTGCAACTCCAAAATGCGCCATTGTGACCTGGTTCGCCCGTTCATATATGTGTGCCAAAGGAAGATAGGATATGTAACTGTCAAAAGAAAGAAAAAGGTAATTCAGGAGAGGAAAACCATAAATATTTAGCAGAAGGTATCACAACATAATACAGTAAAAATTGCTATATACATGGTGGCAAACTAGATACCCACATGTCTGAGGGACAGAATTTGACAGAAAGGCTTGCCCCAGCAACATTTGTGATCAAGTTCTCGTGAGACAATACAGCTCCCTAACAATAATTAAAAAAAGAAGTCACCTTGTTAACTTGCCATAAGCAATCAAAGAATGTTAGTAAGCTTCAAGATCAGAATAATAAAGTTCATCAACATAGCTAAAACCAACACCTTCGGAGTTCCAGTTGTACCACTTGTATAGCAAATAGTAGCAACGTCATCAGGTTTTGGAGGGCAAAAAGGTTGAAGGCTACTTCTCCCCTACACAAAATTCAAACAAAAGTATAGAAATTAGGATGCATATTTTTTTCTTGGGTCAGTGAGAATAGATTATGATAACATAACTAATAAATAAAGAATTTTGAATAATCTTGCACAGTTTGAATATATAATTACATCAACCAAAACATATATATTTAAAAAATAAATAAATAAATAAAAATTGAAAACCTAACCATGATAACAAAAAATCACAGTAGACATGAGCAATCAGATCTAATGTGTCCATGAAGAGAAACCCTAATCACCAGGGAGGAAACTGAGGAATGCTAATGTTATATGGACTCTTTGAAAGCTGTTCGTATCCATGGACTCTATATATCAAGTCATCTTGTCTTCTAGTCATAAAATTTTGTGTAGTAAGATGATATTCAATAATTTCATCCTATTTCCCACCTTCAACCAGGAGTTGAAAAATCTGTGCACTAATGCAGAATGCCAGATATAAGCAACAATAAGATTTAGCTTTGAAAGAATCTGGTCGTCAGCAAAAAGTGCGTATAATTTGCACAACGAAAATTTGTAATAGGAGTACCTGTAAGTTTCTAAAGAATATTGTATATTCAAATTGCGTATCAATTACATCAAGACCTTAGTATATATAACCCTAACACCTAAACCAAAAAGGAAATACAATATTTACATAATCACAACCATGCCTAATATATAATATATACACAATCATGCCTAATATATAAGATTATATTCTCACACCCCCGCTCAAACTCAAGGTGTTTTAGCTGAAAACACAGTGACTTTGTCAAGAAGAAAACGAGTAGTGGTGTACGTCTTGGTGAAGAAATCAGCAAGCTATTGAGCCGAAGGGACAAAAAGAAGCAAGATAGAGCCAGACTTTAGGTGCTGACGGACGAAGTGAAAATCAATCTCAATGTGCTTCGTTCGTTCATGGAAACAGTGTTATGGACAATTTGAGTAGCACTTCGGTTGTCACAGTAGAGAGAGGCCGGCAAGGACTGAGGAACGCCTAAATCAGAGAGGAAACAACGAAGCCAGATAACCTCAGCAATAGCATGAACCATAACACGGTACTCAGCTTCGACAATAGAACAAGCAACAACAGTTTATTTCTTACTTTTCCAATAAATCAATGAATCTCCAAGAAACAGACAGAAACCAGAAGTGAACTTACGATTAGTAACATCACCAGCCCAATCAGTATCAGCATAAGCCACCAAATCCAAGGAAGAAGTAGAAGACAACAAGCAGCCTTGGAAGATAGTACCGCAGAGATAGCAAAGAATCCAAACCAAAGCAGTCCAATGCTGAGAACGAGGAGCAAAAACGAATTGGCTAACCACATGAATAGCATAGACAAGATTAGTGCGAGTAACTGTCAGATAGACTAAGCAACCCACAAATTCACGATACAAAGTAAGATCATCCAGTAGGACACCATCAGTAGTGTTAAGCTTCACATTAAGCTCAATGGGGGCATCAAAAATCTTAGTGTCAATAAGACTGGCACGGTGAATAATCTCATTGGCATACTTGGCCTGAGACAAAAGTAACCTTTGGGAAAAGAAGCTACCTCAATATGAAGAAAATACCGTAATGGTCCCAGATCCTTCATTTTGAAAGTGCGAAAGAGACACTGATTGACCTTAGAGACAGCAGAAGTGTCAGAGCCAGTAATGATCATATCATCCACATATAGTAATAAGGCAACAAAACTAGCAGAGGTGTGAAGGAGAAATAAGGCAGAGTCTTGGTCACACGAATGAAACCCAAATGCAGTAATAGCTGTTTGAAAACGATCATATCAAGCACGAGAAGATTGCTTCAAACCATACAGAGCACGCCAAAGACGACAAACAAGACCAGAGGAATGAGGAAGACCAAGGAAAGGACGCATGTAAACCTCCTTGGTAAGATGGCCATTAAGAAAAGCATTCTTAACATCCATCTGATAAAGAGGCCAATGACGAACAGCAACAAGAGAGATCAAAGTATGAACAGTAGTCATCTTGGCAACAGGAGGCGAAGGTTTCCTCATAATCAATCCCATACTATTGTGAGAAACTTTTGGCAACCAGGCGAGCTTTGTAACTCTTAAGAGAACCATCAAAGTGAGTCGTGACTTTGTAGAACCATTTGCAACCGACCAGATTCTTACCAGCAGGCAAATGAACCAACTCCCAAGTACTAGTTTTCTTCAAAGCAAACAACTTATCCGCCATAACTCGAATCTAAAAAGGATCCGGACAGGCCTTCTTGAGAGACTAAGGTTCTGAAAAAGAATGAATAGCAGACAAAAAAAGTATAATAGGAAGCAGAAAAACATGTATTAGACCAACCCAGCCTGTTTGGAAGATGACGCTCTCGAGTAGGATATGGGTGTGTAGCAGAATCAGAGTCTTCAGAAACAGAAGTGGCATTAACCGTGGTATAGACAACTGGTGAAGGAAAAGCCTTGCGACGAGAATAAACTATCAACGGAGGAGGAGGAGAAGCCGAAGGAGGAGAAGGGAATAAGTTCAGGAGAAACAGTGGAGATGTACTCATCAAACGAGACCTCAGAAGGAAATGGGTCAATGTGAACCAAATCTGCTTTTGAAACTGGAGCAGTGAGAGGAGGAAGCTAAAAGTAAGACAGATGTTCCAAGAAGGCAACATGGCGGGAGACATAAAGTCGGCGGGAAATAGGATCGTAACAATGATAGCCCTTTTGAGTAAGACAGCAACCCAAAAAGACACACAGGATAGAACGGGAACTAAGTTTAGTCCTATCTTTCCGGAGAAGAAGGACGAAGCATGGAGACCCAAAAACACGAAGGAGAGAGTAATTGGAAAGTTGGAAAAACAAAACCTCATAAGGAGAACGACCAAAGAGTAGAGGGGTAAGCATACGATTGAAAAGAAAAGCAGCTTCAAGAACTATTTTCCCCCAAAAGGGCGCTAGAATAGAGGCAGAAAGAATGAGAGATCTAACTGTCTCGAGAAAATGACGGTGTTTACAGCACGGCCATTTTGGACGGGTGTATCAATACACTCCATGGTCTTGACCTAAGATGGTCAGGCCCAATCACACCAACTGAAATGCAATATGTTGAACAATATGTCCTAGCCAAGTACCCGGAGTACTCCAATGCTCTAGTTGAAGGAGGAGAGAAGACTGACCTCTACAATCTTTGTATCAAAGAAGAGCCATTCAATCTTCTAATCGATGACAAACGGAAGTCGCCCCGGTGCAGTCTCTCTGCTCATCTTTCTTCTGGTCTCGCTTGTGGCCTCGCTGGCCTCTCTGCTGGAATGGCGATTGGGATCGTCGGCGATGCTGGTGTTAGAGCTAATGCACAGCAGCCAAAACTTTTTGTTGGAATGATCCTCATTCTCATCTTTGCTGAAGCCTTGGCCCTGTATGGTCTGATTGTTGGCATCATATTGTCTTCTCGAGCTGGTCAATCCAGAGCAGACTGAGAAGATGGTTTTCAGAGAGAGAGACCGTGGGTTTGTTTTGTTGCCATTTGTTTTGTTGCTTTTCTCCCCGACATTCTGGACTCCAAGGCTGAAGGAAGGAACAAGTATCTAGAGTGAAGGTATGTGTACAAAATTCCAGCAGGCAGCGAAGGCAAGGTTGCCGGCCGGCTGCCCGCCGGTGAGAAAACAAAATACGGGCCTAAATCTTATGGCTCTGATACCATATAAAAAATTGATGTATTATTGATTGATGTATATTATCAATTACAAATGGTGAGGGGCTCCTTATATAGGAGATGTAGTGGAGTAGGTGGTAGTAGGTGGTAGTGGTAGGTGTGTAGTAGGTGGTAGTAGGTGGTGGTAGGTGTAGTAGAGGTGGAGTAGGTGATGGTAGGTTTTAACAATCAATACAGGAAATTTAGTGAATAGTACCCAAATTGGCTAGATATTCACAAAACTCAGTTTTAAAATACTCTCCACCTAAGTCAGACCTTAACAATTTAATGGTAGCCCCAAACTATATAGTGATCATAAACTGAAATGTACGGTATATTTGGTAGAAGTCAGATTTATGAGTCATAAGATAAATCCTAATATAGCGGGTGCAATCATCAACAAAAGATACATAGTAAGCAGAACCTCTTTTGTGAGAACAGGAGAGGGTCCCCAGACATCAGTACACACGGGAAAACGAAAAAAGGGAAATAGCAATACTTTAATTAAATGGTAAACCTGACAGTTTGGCAAGCTTATGCCCCTGACATTCATCAATTTGACTAGGAGAAACTTTACCCAACAATCTGGACTGAACTAAAGACCGTAAGCGGTCAACAGACAAATGACCTAGGCGAGAATGCCATAAATAAAAGTTACTCAACTAAGAATCTAACTGAAATGAGAAGAGTACAACTGGAGAGGTGGATAAAAGGAGATGCAAACTTTCTACTACATAAAGGTCTCCAATTCTACAGCCGGTCCCAATTTGCTTCTTGGACACCCGATCTTGCATACAACAGACAAAAGAAGAAAAGATGACATCAAAGCCAAAAGCATCAAGTTGACTGATAGATAATAAATTGACAGATAGCTGAGGGGCATAAAGAACAAAGGGAATAGTAACAGCAGACATAACAGAGGGTAAGACAGACCCAATAGACAAAACCGACATACCAGACCCATTAGCAATATTAATAGTAATAGGAGCGGGTAGGAGAATACAGTTTTGAAGTAAGGAAATGTGAGGAGTCATATGATGAGAGGCACCAAAATCAAAAAGCCAAACGGAAGCATGGATACCTGAAGAAAACCCAAGTAAACTTGAACGAAGAGAGGTAAGAGCAAAGGCAGATGGGAATGAATGAGAGGTGGACAAGATATACTGAAGTTAAGCAAACTGAGTACTCAAGGAAGCCAAGTAAGGATCTGAAGTCAAAGCAGAAGCAGGAGGCCGGAAAGTACTCGGAGTAGGATTACGGAGCTGTGTCTGAGGTGACTAGGACGAAGTAGGGTGTCGTTCCTTCTTGGGACAGTTATATTTCCAATGACCCCTCAGGTGGTAGAAAGCACACTCATCTAGACCTAATGGCTCTTTTTTAGGCTTTGCAGTGGCCTGAAGCTGATGAGGAGAAGGGGTTGATAACAAAGTTGGTTTAGCAAGAGCCAATAAGACAGAGGGACGTAGAATCTGACTGGCAGACGGGTTTCCTCGGAGAGCAGCTCACAAACAATAGCATCCACAAATAGAAGAGAAGACCGATGAAGGATGCCACCACAAATAGCCTCATACTGAGGGAAAAGAGCCGTTAAGAACTATACTAAATGACCTTGCTCCCGAAATTCAACATAAGTGTCTAATACCTTGAGGCTAGGTGGTTCCATGAGAGCCAATTGATCCCAAAGGCCTGTCATCTCAATATAGAAATCCCGAATAATCTGATCCCGCTGATGAGTACTCTGAATAGCTGTTTCCAACTCATGCCGCTTGGCAAAGTTGGACTGCTAGTAAATAATCCCACACCTCATTAGCAATACTGTATTTAGAAAACATCATTCCAATACGGTCATCCACAGAATTATGAAACCAGGTCAAAACTTAAGAATTATCACAATCCCAAGTATCACAGGAAGTCAGATATCCATTCGCTTTTGAGTCCAATGGACGAGGAACAGAACTAGAAATATAACCCCATTTTTTCTGACAAAGAAAAATTCTTCATAACACTAGCTCAATAAGCATAATTGTCACCAGTGAGTCTACACTTGATGGTTTGGTTTTTAGTGTCCAACATGAGAATAAAACAAGGTTTATAGAATGAATGGGTCAAAATTATAATATGCAAAAGGGGCTAGGGTCAAACAGAAATAAACCTAAAATAGGTTATTTAAGTGTACTAACCCAAACCAACCAGAGAACCGAGAGCAACAGTCGGAGACGACCAGAGGAGAACCAACAGAGAACCACGAGCAAAGAAAGCAATAGTCAGAGAAAACCAAAGGAAGTTGCGAAGCACAAGGTGTCGCGACTCTAGATCCAAAGAAAGAAACCTGCGGTTTCAATAGTGATGACGGACGTGAGTCGGGAAAGAGAAGGCGAGTACGATCGCGACTCCGGAGAGTGAGAAGGGTCGCGACCATGGCTGCGATTTTAGAGGGAGGTCGTCTAATGGCCACAAACCAGAGACTGAACCAAAATGGTTGATTCGAACTCAGATGAGGACTAGGGTTTCGAATGCAGCTTTGATACCATGTAAGTTTCTGAAGAATATTGTATATTCAAATTGTGTATCAATTACATCAACACCTTAGTTTATATAACCATAACGCCTAAACCAAAAACGAAATACAACATTTACATAATCACAACCATGCCTAATATATACACAATCAACCCTAATATATGACATAATCACAACCATGCCTAATATATAATATATACACAATCATGCCTAATATATACGATTATATTCTCATAATACCACCCTCCTACATGGAAGATTTTAAAATGAAGGAATGTGGAAAGAACATCTCACACTAATATATTAGCAATTTAGGTCATGCATGTCTCCAAGCTTAAACCATCTTGCATCATGACCAACAATTCTTAAAATAACCTGAAACATAAATACGTCAGGAAACAATTGATTTAATGCACTAATGATTCCACATCTGTTATAAACCAAACTAAGGAATCACAGTAGTCCTAATTTGTAATCCACTGGTATAGTCCTCCGGGGCAACCAGGTTTATTACAGCCAAGCATCATTAAAGCAATTTTGCCAGAGAACATTAAGGAAATACTTAAAAAGAACATGAAATCACCTGACTAAGTAGTTTTGAATATGATATAACTTCAACTCCTGTTGACGATGGAAGAGATGGCATTCGTTCATCGATGCCTCCAACCACCTATTGAATACCAAATTAGACAAATGCACATGAGGCAGAATTATTGAATCAGTATCAAATTTGCTTTTAGCTCATTCAAGTTAGCTAAGAAGATCAGGTGAATTTGCATACCACTATAAGATGTACAGACGGAATCTCAGACAAGAAGCTCAACAACTGCAAATTCCAAGAAACAAGAGGGGCAAAAGTTTGTCAAATACAGTTTTGCATGAATCTCTCGATCAATCTGTGGATATTGCTCCTTACAAAAAATCTAATCAACGATCACCAAGTTCATTATCAATTTCTGAAAAAACATAGCATAAGCTTGGTACATTGAATTTCAAAATCTCATCAAAGTCTTGATCTCACCAAGACTTCTTGGCATAGAAGAACTTGCACAAATAACTAAGCATGTTTTTGGAAAATTCCCTGCATTTTAATAGCCTCATCACCATCTCACAAATGGTATTAATATATTTGAATTTTGTCATTCCAAAAAAAAAAAAACATGAAAATAATAAATTTCTAGACAACAAGGTGAAGTGCCTAAACTCCCTCAATAGCATCATTATTTGTTAACTTTTCTCTTCAAATACCAGCATATCATTAAGAGACTACTACTGCAACAAAGTTGAACACTGTAAAGGCTATCTTTACTTGAGCTTGATTTAATTTATTTATTTATTTGGTTAAAGGCTAACTGAAAAGCATGCATGGCAAAACTCACAATGTTCAATGTTTCTGGCAAACAAAATATGGCTTGTACAACAGCATGGTTTATAATGAACTTGACAGCATCTGGACCTGTAGAGCAAACAACAGATTGTACATTACGAGTCATGACAACTTTAGGCAAAGATCCAACTCAAATTTTAACTGACCAACTAATGACTAACCAAGTGTGTCATATAAAGGAACCGAAATGTATGAATATGCAGAGCAGGCATGATCGACAATTAGCCACTCTGGTCTGTTGATAAAATACAGCCCGACACAAGCTCCCTATCATAAAAAACAACCAACTGGGCTAGTCAGATATTTAATGAAAAAGGATATAAGAACTTCAACTGAATGTTCCTATGATCTGTAAGATATATAAATGTCCATAGAAAGCACAATAAAAAGAGAAGAATATTCAACCTAAATTTACCATCAACCACTTGCCTTTGGTATTCCATGATACACTAAACCAGAACCAATTGCTGACCGGGCAGTACCTGCTTCCCCATATGTCATCCACTTGTACCTTCAAAAGTGTAGAAATGAACTCATATCAATAAGTTGCTTCAAAAGTGTATTGCAAGGTTAATTAGATGACCAACTTACTCTCCAACTGTCCCATCAACCCGAATCCGTGTACCCAAGTACTTGTAATCTCGAAAAGTCTCAACTGAACGCCTATATAATTAAAGTTAGAGAAACAACTTGGCAAATACTTCTCAATGAAATTAACAGAGGTAAAATCAGCAATCCAGATTGAACTAAGACAAATTTATCCAAGTAAACAGGGTGGGTACTCACACAAAATTATCATGTAAGGTACCAATTTCAGGATGATCTGGAAATCTGTTAAGAAGCTTTATAGGAGAGCGTGCAGATCTGCATTATAATAATCAAGTATATCAACAACTAATTTAGTGCAATATAGAGCTAATCAGAAAGAGAATAAGAATCCCAACCTGTACACATTCCACTTTCCCGTCTGCAATTTCTCTGGAAGCAAAACGCTGTACCCCTGTTCTGTTTAGAACATGTCACCATCATTAATGTGTGTGTGAGAGAGGGAGAAAAGGAGGGAACAAGCAGCAATATGTTGGTAAAACAGAACAACCAACAAAAATTTAGTATGGACCATAATGATCAGTCAATTAAGACAAACAGGACCACACTGATTAGTCAATAAAAACAAACATATCATTAGTGCACACAAGACCCCTGTACCAAAGACAGCACCCACATTCTGTAACTTTTCATAGGATAGCTACCGAGAATGATAAATATATCCAATCTTCACATGACTAGGCATCATCATGCATCGTGAACACTCCATTTAGTCAATGTAGTAGTAGACTCGGACATGTTGGGACACATGTCGAACCTATGTCACATGGAACGTGGATTGTTCTAGTACGTGGAACATAGTATGCCACTTGGTCTAAAATATAGTACGATTGAGGCAGACTAGTATAGGTTACATTATTGAAATTTAAGTTAAGAAGATTTTCTTTTAATAATTAGACATGAAATAAAATAGGTATACTTTATTTCAAATTGATCATGTAAAAACACATTTTACATTTCATCCTGCCAAAAGTCCAATTTTTGTAGATTTTCATTATATTTGATATTTTTTCTTCTTAAGAAAAATTTTAAAACAATAAATAGTAAAAATTTAGGGATCATTTTGGGATCACTAAATTCACCATTTTGGAATAGAAGTGTACCATGTTTTGGAATGTGAGTAGCAAAACATGGTACACTAAAATCACTAGGGTATTAGGGTCTTTTGGTAACACTAAATTGGACACACCATGTGGGGTGTTAAATTTTTTTTTTTTTTTTTCATTGGCAGCTGGAGGCCACATCAATGACATTTGAAGTTTTATTACAATTTTAGAAAGATGATGATTTGGGATCAAAGCAGAGCATTTGAAAATAAGAGGGTGGGGAAAAAATGTTGGATGATGATAAATGTGTCTTAGATTGTAATGAAATGATATATTAGATGATGCCTTCTTTGACTTGTGATTTATGTATTTTTTATAGATGATCCATCAATTATCGAACTTAAAATGTTTTTGTCATTTGTGATGCAATGGTTTATGATTGATGAAATAGTATTTTGTACATTGAATAATGTTTAAATTATAGGCAAAGTGATTTTTTTTCATGTTGAATTAAACTAAGCTTTTCAACAATTTTTGTTGTCTGTGGATGTTATTTTCATATACATAGCATGTAATAACATTTAAATTTTGTTTTTTTTTTTTTCCGTATGCCATTGTGTCCATATCCTAATTTCATTTTTCTTTCTAAAATCGCAGTCAGTAAGTACTGCTTAGTAAGGCGCCACACACACACAATTCCTTGGAAAACCACTAGTAACTATATTGATTAAAATAGTAAAGCCTAGTATATACAAGTATATATGACTCAAAATATATTGATTAAAATAGTAACAACAAATTATGATATGTGTTGGCCTGAGTTAAAAAAGTAACTCCAATACTAAAGTTCAGCTCTCCTCTGCTCCTACTCAAGGTGCCAAAATATAAAAAAATTAAAGAATTGATGTCCTGCAGTCAAACTCATCGCAATGATTCTCCAAAGCCCAGTTTGATGACTACATTTAACGGATATATAGGAATTTATATACGCCTCAAATCAGAATTCCCACTATTCCCACTCATTTACGCTCAACCTCACGAACTACTAAACCAGTAATTTTTATTTTTTCTAAATTATATTGGGACATATTCATGGACTTGATTGCTATCCACTTTTGTCAGACCATCAAATTCAACTAAAATGTGATAAATCAGCAAAAAAAATCCGTTTGGTTTAGTTATTGAAAAAAGTTTCGAATTGTATTTTGAAAATTAAAAATTTGTTTGGTTATAAGTTTTTAAAATAATTTTGGAATGATTTAAATTTTTTTTTTTTTGTAGTTGAATAGATAGTATTGAGAGAAAATTTAATTGATTGATATGTAGAATGTGAGAGAATGACAGAAAAGAGAACAGAGAAGAAAGAAAAAGTAATCGATTGATTTATTAATAAAAAAAAGAGGAGAGAGGAGAGAAAAAAAATAATTTTGAAAATTTATTAACCAAACATGTTTTTTGATTTTTTGATCCAAATGTTAATTTAAAAACTAAACCAAACGTTGCCAAAATAAATGACATCTCAATTTCTCAACACAGCCATGGCTTGCCACTCAACAACCTATCAACTCTGAAAGATTATGGAAAAGCACTTCCACCAAGTTTCCAAGGCAATTGAAAATTGTAGACTACTGGAACCACTGGACCAAAATTTTTTACAACACAAAATCACTTGACATCAGTTGTGAAAATATTTTAAACCCTGGGGAGAGAAATAAAATAGACAAATGTCTTGCTTCAGAAAGTTGTCCTATGATAAGCTACTTTTCCCTTGGTGATAAAATGTAGCCCTACTACAAAGAATATTAATTAGTGAAGCCAAATTTATGCGTGTCAAATGAGCCATTTCCAAATCCCAACTTGTGGGGGCTTCCAATGGCCCTACAGTTTTTGCTCACTCACCCCAGGCACTGGCGCAGCAGTAAGGTTGCATTATTGTGACCTAGTCATCGTGGGTTCAAACCACAGAGCCAACCTCTCCGTGCACAAAAGTAAGGCTGCGTACATTTAACCCTCCCCAATCCCACAGTAGCGAGAATCTCGTGCAATGGTACTATCTTTAGACATAAACCCAGTTCAGACAAACTATTATTTGATGAACCTGATCAATTTGACTTAGTATAAATCCCCAAAAGTCAAATCTTTCTTTCATTTACATCAACTATCTCCACTGCCAAACAAGGCTCTACAGATCAAAGGGGGACCACAAACGTGCTAGAGAGCCCCAAAGTAAGTAATTCCGCCAACCAACAAGGAATCTATATCACAATGAACCTCAAAAATAAGACCCAAAAGGTAGAGGGCCCAAATCTGGAAGCGGAGATGCTGCTGCGCAGGCTTCTGTGTGGCAAAATGGGCTCATTTTGGCCATTTTGATAATTCCAACAGTTCATATTTTAAAATCCTTCAATTAGATGGCTGTAAAAAATCAAGTATCGTTTACCCTTAAAAAAAACTACCAATAAAAACATGAAGATTCAAGTCCCCCTAAACAAAGCAAAAACCCTAGGGTCCTTCAAAAAGTGAAAATTAGAGAAACATCAACATCAACACAAAATCTTCCAGATAACAATAATATAATAAATATAGAGAGAGAGTACCGTAGAAGAACTCGCCGGCGGTTGGGTTTGGCCGGAGAAATAAGTGTTGAATGTCGCCGGCGGCGGAGGTGAGGTGGTTTTCAATGGTTAGGAGGCGACGCTGAGCTGATGAATCCATCTCCATGGATGCTAAACTTTGCTTCGTTGGATCTTCTCTTCTCTCCGAATCACCCTCAGAGCTCTGTTTTCCAGATTATATATATATATATATATATGTGTGTAGAGAGAGAGAGAGGCACGCTTTCCAACGGAGACGTCAAAATACAGTTGAGATAAGCGTCGTGGTTTTGGTTATATATTTGCAGAAGATAAGAGACGTCTGAACCATATCTATATTTGTGCTGTTGTTTGTTTGTACATTTTATATTTACATACGATGTGCCGTGTTTGGATTGAGTTGAATTTGAAAAGTTGAAATCATTCGGGTGTTTGGATGTTGGTAGGTATGTGCTAAGATGGTGTTTGTTTTGAAGGATTGGGTATGAGATTACTAAGGCTTGGTTTGGGAAGTGGGTTGGCTTTTTGGTTTTTTGGCTTTTTTGGTTATTTTAGCCTGGGCTTAAAAGTTTGGTTTGGGAAGGACTTTTTGGCTTTTTGGATTTTTTGAATTTTTTTGTGAGAGAAGAATGTAATGATTATGGGTTGGATGTGATGTTTTGTTTGTTATGGCTAAAATAGCCTATTTTATTTTTTGTGATCCAACCCATAATCATTACACTCTTCTCTCACAAAAAAAGTCAAAAAAGTCAAAAAGCCAAAAAGCCCTTACCAAACCAAGCTTTTTAGCCCAGGCTAAAATAGCCAAAAAAGCCAAAAAACCAAAAAGCCAACCCACTTCCCAAACGGAGGCTAATTCATCCCGACTAATAGTTTGTTATTTGTTTTAATTTTTTTGTTCGGGATTAATCATATGAGGGATTTTGTATTTTAGGGAATGAGATTATTTTCATGGGATTGATATCCCATGAGACTAATATGTGAAATGTTCATTTTACTCTTATATTATTACTTAATAAACAATTAGAAAATGGTTAAATAATCTTTTTAATATTTATAAATTATTATTTTTAGTGTTGTTAATTTAAAATTATATATTAAATAAAAAATAAAATTATAAATTTAATTTAATTAAAAAGAATAAATTAAAATTATGGCCTTATAAATTAAATTTTTTTAGTGTTGTTAAAAAATTAAATTTATATATAAAATAAAATTATTTTTTTATGTTGTTAATTTAAAATTATATATTAAATAAAAATTTATAAATTGTAAATTATAAATTATAAATTTAATTTAATTGAAAATAATAAATTAAAGATTATGGCCTTATAAATTAAAAAATTTTAGTGATGTTAATTTATAAATTATAAATTATAGATTACAAATTTAAAATTTAAAATTATATATTAAATAAAAATTATAAATTACAAGGGTAAAATAATATTTTGAACATTTATCCTTATCCAGTTCATCCAACCACACATTGAATTCACTAAAAATAGTCTAATACAGACATCTAATCCCATGACTAAACAAATATAAGATACAAATCCAGTTTAACCAAATAGTCCGAGGATAATGTATCCCAGAACTAACAGTCCGATGGATTACAATCCACCTTATCCAGTCCATCCAAACAAATATGCTTTAAGGGTGTGTTTGATTGGACGGACTGAATAAGGGGGATTAAAATCCCCCGAATTATTTGGTTGGATTGGATGTGTATCATGTGTTTGTTTTCTTGTGAGATTAGATGTTTGGAAATGATTATTTCTAGTGAATCCAATGTTTGGTTGGACGGACTGGATAAGATAAATGAACAAAAAACTATTTTACTATTTTTCAATTGTTTACTAAGTAATAGCAATATTAAACATATCTTTAATATTTTAATTATTTTTAGCTAGATTAAATAAAAAAATTATTTTATTTTTTACACAATTAAATAAATTTATTTTTAAAAAATTAAATAAATTAAATATCAATAAAAATATATGTTATTTTTTAATTAAAATTTTAAATAAATTTATTTTAAATAATAATAATAATGAAATAATGAAATTAAATATAACATTTATTAAAATTTAAATAATGAAATTAAATAAAATATAAACAAAATTTTCAAATAAAACATCAATAAAAATATCTATAAAAATTTATTTAAAAAAATTAAATAAATAAAACATCAATAAAAAAGTTAAATAAAATTATTTTATTTTTAAATTGAGACAATTAAATTTTACTAAATATAATACATAATTAAATAGTAGAGAGTCAAAATGATAATTTCACCACCTAATGCCAACAATAAATAGTCTCATGAAAATAATCTCACACTCTCCTAGGATAAAATAGTCCCTCATACGAGGGATATGGAGTCTGACTGGACTCCATGTTTGGTGGACTAAAAATAAATAAACGTCAAATTGAATGCTTTCAATGAATTACAATCCGCACAATAAATAGTCTCTCTTTATCCCTCCAATCAAACACGCCTTAAGAGTAATATTAGAGATCATGGTAAAATATTATGAAGATGATCATAAAAAATTTTTTACCTTTAAATTACATATATAATAAAATATCATACACTAATTAAAAGATAAAAAATTATATTTCATGATATATATATATATATATATTTTATATGATTCTTAGCATTATTCTTGTGCTAATGCCCGCTGGGTGTGCTGGATGTTGTCTGAAACTAGACATCAGTCCAAACACGGTGCGAAAAAATGTACAACATTTTAGCAGCGTGCTCTTATTATGATCTCAATTGTAGTCAATTGCACATGAACAACAGGGTAAACGAAAGTTTTTAACTTTTTAAAAGAATAGACAAACAGAGCTACTACAAAGCTTCTGGTTAGTTTTTTTGAATTTTTTTTGATTTTGTAATTATTTTAATTTGGTATTAAAAAAATTCGTTTGGAATAAGGTTTTGGCTTTTTTGGTTTTAAGGAGAAAAAAATAAAATGATTATAGTTTAAATGTGATATTTTATCTTATTGACTTTTTAACTTATTTTGCCTTTTTGTGACTATTTTAACCCAAACTATTTATGCGAAACATAGCCAAAATGTCACTTTAAAGTTTGATTTTTTTTTTTTAACTCTTCATATTTTAAATTCTTTTAATTTACTATTGAAGTTAACTTTTATTTAAAATTAGATAAAAAAAAAATATCACATTATCTGTCATATAATATAAAAAATATATTCAATATATTTGATTTTAATTTTCTGAATTCAATTTTATAGAAATTAAGTTTTTTTGTTTTTCGTATTTTTTGTTTTTAATGAATTTTTTAAAAATTTTAAGTAATTTTTTTTTATACTTTTTTAAATGCATCTTACTTATAGATGTATCTAAATAGTAAACTATTTGTGAAAAAATATTTTAAAAAATTAATAAATACACAAAAATATGAAAATGTATTAAATTTTCATATTTTTTTATGTTTTTGGTATTTCGTGAATTTTTAAAATATTTTTGTCACAAATATTATACTTTTTAAGTGTATTTATGTTATGCGTGTCTAAAAATTAAAAAAAAATTAATTAAAATATTTTTAAAAATTAGTGAAAATAAAAAAATATGAAAAATGAAAAAGTAGAATTTTCTAAGAAGTAAATTATGAAAACTAAAATCAAATAGAGTGATTATTATATTGAGATTTATATTTGTGTTAAATGTGTGAGTTATATGGAATAAAAATATTTTTATATACGTGAGTGTCATTGTGTCACTTTTTGTCTAATTTTAGGCATAAATTACTTATTAGAGTAAATTAAAACAAAATAAAATACAAATGGCTAAAGTGAAAAAATAAATAAATTTCAAAAAAATTAAAGTGAAAAAATAATTAAACATAAAAAGGGTAAAATATAATTTATTCAAAAGAATAATATATATGAAGGCTAATGCTAACAACAAGCAATGTTAGAAATGTAGAGACGAAAATCGAACACAAATATCTCATAATAAGTGGGTCCAACTCTTTATGAGACATCTATATCTAGTTATGTGTTTAATTTTCTACACAAATTTATTGTGTGAACAAGTGTAATTGCCACTAATTAGGTCAAGTTTGGCATTATTGAAAAAAGATAAAAAATCATTATGTTATTTAAGTCACATCACCTCTCTAACACATCACTTCAAACCCAACCCAAACCCAATCCATATTTCATAAAAAATTAAAAAATGTACTTATTTAGTCTTCCTAAACTAGGCCTTAGTGTATTTGATGATATATTAATTTATCTCAATTTTGATAAATTTTTAATTTTAGTTACTCGTTAAATTTATAAATTTTGTTTTCAGTCAATCATTAATTGAATGCATTTATTGTTGAATGTTTCAATTAATTGAATGCATTTATTGTTGAATGTTTCAATGACTTTTGAATTTGTATAAAACTAATTCAATGACTTTTGAATTGTATAAAACTAATTTATAATTAATATTTCAACTTTTCACATATAAAAATAATATTTTGACAAATCTCATGATTCATTAAATACATTGGAACATGAATATTTTGACAAATCTCATGATTCATTTAATACATTGGAACATGAGTAATTACTTCACATGACGCATATATTATGAAGATCCATTTTGAATACATTCATATTATAAATTTAGAAGTTTCATTCTGAATTTTACTTAAAAATATGAATCTATGTTAAAATTATAGATCCCATACTACATAATTCAAATTCATTTATAATTTGAATATCATGGGGGCATTAAGAATAAATTACAGTGATCTTTTCTGATATTTTGATAATATATAATAAGTTTTGTAATTTTGACATAATTATAATAGACTCCCTTTCAATTTTAATTCACATAACATTTAATCTCATTTTTAACAATAATTCGCTAGTTATTTGATTTTTTCCCCCCATACAATAGAATGTGTTAGATTACAGCAAAAGGGTCATAGTTACTCCATCGTTTCTAACCTTGAACTGCCTTCGTACTATCGCAAGAAACATCTACATAGATCATTGAGCCAACTCTCATGTCCCCCTAGTTATGGTTGAAAAATAATATTGTCATATTTTATACACTAAAATATGTTTTACTTTGTTTATTTTTATATCTTCTCACCATTTATATTAGTTCATGTTATTTTTAACCTTACTAAAAAAAAAGTCAATATAATTATATTAAAATTGTAAAATTTATTGTATTTTTCTAATCTTCATAAATGTCATGACCTAACCCCTGTCCCAAGAGATTAGAGAAGTGACCGACCAATAATCCGAAATTACCAAAGGTCTGCTTAATAATAATATGGTAATAGGTACT